TATTTAAATATTTTAAAAAAAATATTCCATTAGATTAACCAACCGGCAACCAATAATATATGTACATGATATAAATTAAATTAAATAAAAATATATATAAATACTAATCCAACATTTTAAATTTAATCTATTTTTTTTGCATTATTTCAAAGTGAAATCTACCTCGGTTTTGACCGGTAATCCAAATAGGTTTACCGCAATTCGTAATTTAAGGGAAAAGTGTAGTTCCGTCATGCTCCACCCCAATGGTTGGTGATTGCCCCCTGGATCATCATCACATTTCTATGGTTGAAAATTATCAAGTGAAACCAGCAAGCAGATTCATGTCCATTGACATCCAATAATTATTCATCAATTGTCCAATCAAATTGGCAACAGGTAATTACACATGTTCAATAGTTGTGAAAGATTACACCCCCTTGATATGAACCACATGCCTATCATTTACCCCAAGTGCCGTTTTTTTCGCAAGCAGGCAGTCTAGCCAAGGGACTTTCCACGGTCGTTTTTTCGTTTGCCCTTGCCCTTGCCCTTCTCACCTGGCCGATACTGAGATGCTTCGATGTTTGTCTCAAAAGGAGGATCCCAAAATGATCCAACATGGTCATTTTGATGGGGACAATGGCGATGAAAGGATGATCGATGGGATTTTGGATATTTTGCTGTATCCCATTTGGACAAAGCCATATCCAAACATGGCAAGGCTGTCGTGTCATGAAGATTGGCTGCCAAACCATTTGCAGATGGAGTTTTTGGGGGTTCAGTCTTCTTCAATCAGCCGTTCCTAGTCTGATTTTGTCCAATTTACAAAATCCATAATGATGCGAGCACATCTCCAGTTCTAGGTTCCTCCGACCATTGGAATTTTGAGGCTGGCACAAGGCTCAAAAGTGAAGTACTTGGATGTGCATCATGTGCATGTGCATCCCAGATAGTAACTGATCAACAACCATGGCTGTAATCCAGGTAGGAATGAGATTACGCCATCTGGCACTCACTAGTCACTAGCATCTAAGCAAGCTTGTTGACCACAAAATCAATCTGGGATGCACATCCAGATTCTAGGTGACCGTCCGTCCAATCATACCCATATCATGTTTGTTGAACCGGTGGTTGCTAGTGCGGCTTTTCAATCACATATACATATATATATATATATGTGATTCTCGGTGTACCCCTCAGGTCTACCGATTCCATCCCAAGCGATTGGGCACCAAAATCTTCCAATCGCAGCATGGGATGTAATTTGAACATCTAAAGCCATCACCTCCGTCTGCTAAAAGTGTCCACTGTCTGTCTTGGTGGTATAACACTTTTTTTAATTGCTGAAATAAAATGAATCTGTGACCCTTGCCATCCCTTGCCCATATCTTCTCAGATTGGCGTGTCCGGTATATCGGGGTATACTCTAAACTTGCCAAGTCACTGGTGAAGATGGGTTCTAAACCATGGAATTTGGTTGTATCCTATTTCTGGTCCACATTTTGTTGCTGAACTATGCTGAACTACCCTCTGGTAAACTAAAAGAAATTTGGAAAATCACCATTTTCAATGGGTAAATCCACTATAAATGGCCATTTTCAATAGCAAACTGTTAAAGTACCAGAGGGTATCCACTTGTTTGATGATTTGGTCCTCATTTTTGTAGGTCCCAACCTCGATTGGGCGGCGGAGGCATCTCGTCTCCATTGCCCAACCTGAAGAATGTCGGTTGATTCTTGGTGTTGCCTTGGTCCATTTTTGTCTGCTTCAACTGGCTGAAAAAACCTTCAATTTTGATGGTGAACATGTTATGTTTCATGGTGAACCCACCATAAAATGTTGTGATTTGGGGCTTGAAAACCACCCATTTGACCTTGATGGTTAGTTCCGACATTTTCCACATCTTGTGCAGGTCGGGTCATGAGCCTGGTACCCTGGCTTTCACCTTTTTTTTTGGGGGGGGATCGTATGTTCCTCCATAGCTCAACTTGCCCCGCCAGAAACTCATCCTATCATTGAACCTCCAACTACTAAACGCGTGGGCTTGTGATTTTTTCATTCGGGAACGCCTGGTATTAGGGCTTCCCTTCATGATAAGTCAAAAACCCCTAATCGAAGGAAGTTTAGCAGTCAAACTTCCGACAATATGGACAGATGAAAAGCAGAGTAGGGCAGAGGCAGAGAGAAGAGAAAGATTAGAAGAGAGAAGAGTAGAAGAGAAAGAGTAAGAGGACAGAAGATACAGATGCGCGAAAAGGTAGGAAAGTCGCGAAACACTGTGCTTTTCCAATGATTTGTGGCTCAGGAGGGTCGAAAAGTAGGCTCGCTAAAGCGGCGGGTGCGGAGCCAGCTGGCCACAGGAGCGATGAAAAAGTGCACGCCGTTGTGGCGCGAAGCACATTTCCAAGTCAAAATGTACAAAACACCTCAGCGTCGGACCACTTTTGGAAGTTGAGATGTCAAAAAAGTGCACGCCGTTGTGGCGCGAAGCACATTTCGAAGTGAACATGTAGAAACACCTCAGTGTCGGACGACTTTTGGAAGTTGCGATGTCGAAAAAGTGCACGCCGTTGTGGCGCGAAGCACATTTCCAAGTCAAAAGTGTAAAAAACTGACAGTCTCGGACCACTTTTGGAGGTTCCGATGTGGAAAAAGTGTCGAAAAAGTGCACGCCGTTGTGGCGCGAAGCACATTTCGAAGTCAAAAGTGTAAAAAACTGAGGGTTTTGAGCCTTTTTTGACGTGAAGATGTCGAAAAAGTAGCCACTGATTAACTTAACTAACTTGACTAACTTAACTAACTTCACTAACTTAACTACCCTAACTTCGACGACAACAGCAACAGCAACAGCAACAACAACAACAACAACACCAACACCAACCACAACAACTACAACTACAACAACAATAGATCGATAGATGGAGAGATAGATAGATAGATAGATAGATAGATAGATAGATAGATAGATAGATAGATAGATAGATAGATAGATAGATAGATAGATAGATAGATAGATAGATAGATAGATAGATAGATAGATAGGTAGATAGATAGATAGATAGATAGATAGATAGATAGATAGGTAGATAGATAGATAGATAGATAGATAGATAGATAGATAGAGAGATAGATAGATAGATAGATAGATAGATAGATAGATAGATAGATAGAAGATAGATAGGTAGGTAGGTAGGTAGGTAAGTAGGTAGGTAGGTAGATAGGCAGAGAAAGAGAGAGAAAGAGTGAGAGAGATCAAGCACCTTTCAATCCATCAGTGGATTCGCTTTGCCATCCCTGATTCACAACAACCAACTTCTCCTATAGGTTTCCTATTTTTGAAACTTCCGCCACCGCCTTGTGCGGTACTACTGGTACACAAAAAAAATCTGTGCTTTCAAACACAGATTAAATTCCTTGTTGACATCTATTCAAAGGTTTGCATAAACTTGGATTTCAACGGGATCCACAATTACAAAATAAACACCCAAAATCAAAAACACATGTCGCTTTCAAAAACAAATCACATATAATCGATTTCCTTTCCAACATCTCTTCAACTGCCAAAACTTGGATTTCGAAGGATTCTCTAATTAGAGGTGTCCAAAGTTATGAGTGTACCCCCAGTTACTGTATCATCCATTTTATGTTCGGATTCTCCATGACATAAACTATCCCGCTATTGGGCTACCCCCAGCCATAAGGAAAGCTCCATATGTTGGGATCAAAAGACTAGACAGCCAGTTAAAAAAGAGGCCTCGCTTTGGACTGGCAATCTATCGATATGTTGACAAAACATTGGGATATCACTATCAAACATGGTCAAACAGGAAGAGATTATATAGAAAATCATGAGAATTTGCCACTTTGAAGTTCAGCAGATCAGAACCAACAAACACTGGTGATTGGAGAATTGAAGAGGATGTAAGACTCGAATCACGTGATTTTTTTGAGATCAAGGCCATGAGCAAATCAGCGGGCACCAACAAGTGGAAAGGAGGGATATCCCATCATAGATCATCCAGCATAACCATGGGAAATGGTGGGAACACCATGGGAAAACCAAGTCTAACACACGCATACACACGCATCATATGCCGTATACCCTATGGATCCAAGTACCTTCTGTGGAAGTATTTGGGGGCTGATTCAGCATTTGGAGCTATAGGGTTCTATATATATATATATAATATATATATATACATACATACATGGAGGTTTCCTAAGTCATGGAGGTACCCCAGTTCTCATCCAAGTCATGGATGACCATGACTTAAGAAAGACCGAGGTACTCCGCGCGAGGTTGAGGGCCCAAGCCCAGCTTCATCAGCGCCTATGCCATGGTCTGACATGGTCTGACATGGAGGAAATCATGGACATATCATGGGTTTTCAAAAATGAGGATACCACATGTTATTTTGGATAGTAGATGATGGGACAGGCGCCCCTACCCCAACAGGGGGTCACATTCGCCCCTACCCCACTATCCTTCCCATTGACTGTGTCATTCAACGTTTTAGGGTACGACCTGGGGACAAGGGACTTTTAGGGGGAACTGGACAACATTTACGGGGGACTTGGGGACATAGCTGAAGTCACTTCCCTCACTATTGAATATGTCACCCAACCTTTTAGGGTAAAACCTGGGGACACGGGACTTTTAGGGGGACTGGGGAACATTTAGGGGGGACTTGGGGTCATAGCTTAAGTCACTTTTCTCACTATTGAATATGTCACTCGACCTTTTAGGGTAAAACCTGGGGACACGGGACTTTGAGTGGGGACTGGGGAACATTTACAGGGGACTTGGGGTCATAGCTTAAGTCACTTCCCTCACTATTGACTATGACACTCCACCTTTTAGGGTAAGACCTGGGGACACGGGATGTTATGTTGAAATGGATGTTACAACGTAGCATCCAGAGCGTCTGGAAAGTTGATTGAAATGGATGTTGGAACGTAGCATCCACAGCGTTTTCGAGCTGCTTGAAATGGATGTTACAACGTAGCATCCAGAACGTCTTCGAAGTTGATTCAAATGAATGTTACAACGTAGCATCCAGAGCGTCTTGGAACTGACTTCCAGGGCGTGTGGCAAGCTGATTGAAATGGATGTTACAACGAAAACTCCAGCGTCTTGGAGTTGCTTGAAAGCGATTTTCCAACATAACACTTGAACATGACTCTCTGAGGTGGAAAAGATCATTTCGAGGCTCTGAAACTATTGCGCCTGCCACACAAAAGCAGGGGTCACATTCGCCCCTACCCTAGGGTCACATTCGCCCCTACCCCCAACTGAGGTAGGGGCAAATGCGACCCCACATGAGGTAGGGGCAAATGCGACCCCCATGCCGTACATGATCATAGCTATTTTGGATTATTGACATGAAATAAACCATCCAGCGAGCTTGGCAGCGAGCTTGGCAGCGAGCTTGGGGTACCCCCATGACAAAACGAACACCTTCAAGGTGGTTTTCCAATTTTCTTAGCTTAATTGGTGTAGAACTAGCGTATGACAAAGGGCTTATGACATATCAAACTAGTTCAGTGTCTTTATAAACTCATAAGTCGAGGGCACCACCTGGCAATGATTTTAGCTGATTTGTATATTGATGGAATATTCCATAGTATTCCTACCTATCTGTAGATTGTACGATCACAGTTATAGGTTTGCTCTTTTAAGCCGCCCAGTCCAAAAGGGACATTACCTTGGACATTTCCTAGTGCCAGTTGCACACAATGGCTTGCAAGTAATGCAGCAACCCCAGTTAAACATTGACTCACTCTCAGCGATCTATGCCAAATAAAAGGGTGATTGTCCCAGTACCCGGTAAACATTCACAGTTTGCGACATAGAAAATGGTCATCTATAGTTGATTTACCAATCAAACATGGTGTTTTCCATAGTTGTAAACGTTTACCGGAGGGTAAATTTGTCGAGTTCGGGGTCTTTCCAAACGCTGCTTGGTCCATGGCAAATCCCCGTTGAACCAAGCATCATGTCCGGGGGGTCCGCCATGAAATCTCTGTTAGATCCACAAATATACCATGATAAACAAGTAAGTCCATGCATGTATATTTACACATATTTCTTATGACTGCGACATGATGGCATATATATATATATGTGTATTAAATAATATTATATATATATATATATACTGTATATACACTGTATATACTACATGTATGGTACATATACTTCATTGATGACCACGTTAACATTGCAATTTTGGATTTACGGGGCCCCCACTGACAGGCATCATCCCAGAAACATTGCCCAATCGCCTTGCCAACCTCTGAAAATCTTAGACGGGCAGGGCCCAACAAGAAAGACATGATGTCTAGCAAGGCACGTTCCTTCCATTAAGCTACTTTTGGCTACCCAATGAGATCCAAATACTCCATCAGCTGGCAGAAAATACCAAACTCTGATATTGATGTTTGATATTTTGGGTTAACACACACACGTTATGAGATTGAACTAAATGGCCATTGATATCGAAGGATGCTTCTTTGGGTGTCCATATCATTATCGATCACTCTCCAATCAAAAAAACCCGATTAAAAATCGAGTTTCCTATTGGGTCTATCCCATTCCATCCTGAGGATCCGGATTGATAGTTCCCGAAATATTTCCATGGCTATTCTTAGGTACTGTGAAAAACTAGCTCATATATACCTTTTTATGGTACATGCCCTCATTTAAAGTACAATAACCACCCCAAAATCATGGAACAGTACAAAAAAAAACACTTTTTAAATCAGTGAGGATAGTGAGGTTTCAACAACTCAATCTTAGAAAACCTCCTATATATACCCATCCTCTTGGTTGATCCAGTCCCGTCCTGCATGGCCGCTCGCTTCACTTCACGATCGCTGTCCTGGCGATAAAAAAATCACTCCAAGGTCACCGAACATGCGACAATTCGGAACTTTTTCTTGCACTTAGATGCGGAATCTTATATAGGTTTACATAGGATTAAATGAGTTTCGGAATAGGATTAAAGCCTAGATGTCTAGATACGGATAAATAGGATGAAATATGTATTGACAAAGGAGATCTTCACCCAAATAAAATGATAGTGGTGACATCATTTTTTGGAGATCACACCGATGTCACCAGCCAAACGACCCATACATCGACCCATGACTTCACCCATGGAACATACAACCCCAAAATAGATTGAACAGCTGGAAATCTAGAAATTGACAAAGGAAACTATCATCTCTAACATCTCTGGAAACACTGTTCAGCATCTTTTTGAGGGTAACTATGGTTGGTTTACAAACAAATCGAGTCCAAGGATATTCTTTTATGGTTCAAGAACCTAACCACGCAATTCTTGGGAAGAAAGTCTTCCACTCAGGGTTTTTACATGGCAATAAACCCCTAAATGGATATTTAGTAGTGTTTTTTGAACATTACCACCATACCACTTATAGCAAGCAAAAGCCCTTCATTCAAGTCCTATAATCTGGAAAAAATAGTGCTGAACTTCCATGATAAGTTTCCTTGGAATAATGACTTCCGTCTCCAACAATGATATTGATGGTAGCAGAAATAGCAACAATATTCCGTTACTAAACGACGTCTATTTCCAATAAAGAAAATTCAAAACTACACCATGATTTTCATAATCATCCAGGCACCGATGCCTCCTTCAGAGGAGCCAAGAAGCGCGCAAAAGGCTTGGCCTGTGGATTCGTGATGGGGAAATTTAGGGAAGGCCCTTGACCTAGAAATTTGATGGCATTTGTAAAACATAAATCGGCAACTAAATTGTGTAAGTCACCACACATGTATCATATACCAGAAAATAGAGTGAGAACTTATACACGACCAATTTTGAATCATCAAAAATTCAGACACAAGGTATAATTTCCGGGGAACGTGATTTGGTTGATCCGGATATCACAAAGCACAGGTGTCAGACCACCACTTGAAGTACCCGTTCAGAATCACCTGCATGGCGCTTTTGTCAACACTGTTTAATCAGATAGTAGTACATACTCCTCTTTTTTTTTTGCCGATTCAAATGCTCATTACTCAAGTCTCCATCTAAGCTTGGATAACACACATGTTCCCTTAAATCCATTCCCCGCTAATGGATGTTCCAGGAAAAAAATGCCATTGATCGACAAAGTCGGAGGCCTCCGAGCCCAGCTGCCCCATGGTTTCTGCTGCGTATTGCCGGACCCCCTCATCACGACCTCAGCATTTTGCATAACTGTCAGGGATCCAAAGAGTTCAGAGTTCAGTGAAAAGATGTTAAAAACATCCCATCGATGGCAATCAAATGGTAAAAACATGTGGATGAATATGATTAAGTATTGATTCACCATTGATTAACAAATATTATTGGGATCAAATAGATTAATGCCATTACGCCCTAAATGGAAGGATATAGTACTAAACCAGGGTTTTGTTTCGGGGCTACTTGATATTAAAATATCATGGGGTAGGGATTGCAAACAAATCCTCTTGGTCAGGTCTGAATAACAAATCATCCCCTGGTATCACCATCACTGGATGTACTAAATGGCTAGTAGAAACCATCTCCAAATGATAGGTCTTTGTTGGGTTAGAATTCTGGCCATTTTGCAGCTTCAAATCTGCTACCACCAACACGGTTCATGTACACTTGGTAAACATCGGCCACAAAAAATGCCTTCGCTGAAAAGAACTGGAAAGTACATGTCCAGAGGTTTCTCCCTTTATTGCTGATACTCACCCCTATAATAATATATACGTATAGAATATACGGTACATACGATCCTGCACCACCTTGGATGGTCGAAAACCTACAAATAATGGGATAAGCCAGCTATCAACTGGTGCAGGATTTCTTCCATCCACAGTATCTCTCTATACTGGTTAGTGGTTTTAACCATCTTGAAAAATATTAGTCAATGGGAAGGATTATCCCATATATTATGGAAAATAATTATGTTCCAAACCACCAACCAGTATATATATATATATTCACATGTTCAACTATTCAAATGGCTCAACCACTGTTGGCTGGGAGACCGCACTGGCCAGCAACGGCACCAAACCTCAGCACAAGTGGCACCGCAATGCGCTGCACCACTCGACTGACATGTTTAAACGTTGAAGTGGTAACATGTCATGAACATGACATTAACATGAGATACCAACATTTAGTAAAAGGTGGGTGTGGCCCCAAAAATATTGTACTAACATGTTCATTCATGAATTGAGATGTAGACATGTTCCAAACATCTGTGACGTGACCCCTTTTGGGGCAACTTCAAGAAAATCAGAAGAAAATCAGGACTTGCAGCACAAGCTAAAATGGATGTCAGGCAAGTCAGAGGAAATTTGCACTGAACATCCAACATGTCGTTCATAGCCGCACCCCTCTACCACAACAAATCTGGTAGTTGTCAGTGGGGAGTTCCTGTTATCTCCATCTGTATCCACTCACATTCACATATATGTACTGTGTATACACAGGGGTTGATAGATACTGTAAACACACCAAATAAAACATCTTCAGACTTTACGTGAGATAATATCATTACTATACCCTAATTGGAGTGGTTAAAACTTATGTTTGGGTGTCATGTTTTTATTAATGTGAAATCAAACACTTTTTTTTCAAAAAAGAGTAGTATTTAAAAACTATACTTGATGGTTGAGTCCTGTTAGAAACTCGTAAAATACCACAATGATCATCTATTTAATACAGAAATTGGCAAATGTCCTAGTTCTTGCTTCACATCACCCATCTAAAAAGTGTGTATGATATAATTTCCATTAGATATATATATATATACATTATATTTAATGTATTGGTGATGTTCGAAACCCCCATTTACCGGGACATTTGCTGTATAACCCCTGTTAGGTACCACAAAAAAAACCACCAACAACTATGATGATCGGACCTGTGGGGGGTTTGCCGTCTTCGGTGGGCGTGAAGTAGTCAGATAGTAATCTAACAGTTTGCGACATTGAAAATGGCCATAGAAATAGTTGATTTTCCCATTCAAAATGGTGATTTTCCTTGCTAGCGTGAAGGCAACCCAGTATGTGGCCTGAATCGTGTACCTGGCTGTGTTTTGAAAGATCCTGTTCCACCCAGAGGTATCCGAACAAAAAATGCGGTATAAAAATGGTGGATTCAACGCCAACTTGTTCCAAAACCGGGACCAGCAAGTCAAACTCCAGCTGTCTCACCTATGAGGCGCACCGAGGCGATGAATTGAGACCTCCAAATATCTATACAAAAAGGACATCTATGACATGTACTATATAATAGATTCTATAGATGATACATGTTCTATTTTTTGATAATCTCAATACTTGAGATAGGCCCGACCCACTTGCCCAGTGCGCGCAAGTCTAAGGCATCCCACTCTCAGCAGCATCGGCACCTCCGATCCGAACGATGGCCTGGATCCCAGGTGCCCGGTGCCCCGGCAGTGAGTTCTATGGGGACGTCACTGGGGATATCAATGGGATGTAAATTCAAAATGTGACAACTACCAGATTTTTATTAATGGTATCAATGGGACTTAAACTATCTTAAATGATTTCTGGTGATCTTGATGGAACTTGCAAATTTTTACAGATACACTTGTGAAATGGGGATTGAATGGGATGTAAGTGAATTTTACGGGGATATCGTGGGATATCACTGGAAACACTGGGGAACTAGATGTTGGTAGCATTGCCTAAGTTTTAAGTGAACCATCAAAAATAAATTCTATTGATCAGCATAAGAAATTACACTATATAACTGCTTATTGGGGATTCCTGCAATCCACAACGGGGATGCACATTGACGAGCCAGTAAAACCGGATAGGATAGAAGTATTTTCCATCGTCAAATGCGTGGGATTGCTGGGTATTATAGGCTATCCATCTGGCGCCCTGCATTCATGGTTCGTTGGGGGCCAGTCATGCAGTTGCTACAATGGTTTCCAGCCATGTTTGCTGACTATATCAAGTAGCAAACTATACCCCCACCAAAGTACCACACAATTTGGAATTGGAGATTTTGAACTACAGCTCCAAAACCCCCAATGTGGAGAATCATGATCTAAATCCACTGGTTCATCATCATTTTCCCTATTAAAAATAGGGTTGTTTGGGGTATATATTCATTTTCAAAACAACCCATACTTCAATGGGAATTTCAGGATCCTAAAATGGAGGTACCATATTTCCGGCCATATTTTCTGGGGATATTCCCTTACATAGCCCTAAAAAATAGGCCTTATATAGGGTAGTTACCATCAATTCACCCATCCACACGCCTGGCCTCAGAGACTGCCGGCCTGGCATTTGCGAAAGGATGGACAACGGAAAGATCACCAACCGTATGATGCATGTATGATGCTGTTGATTTTATCATACATGAAACTTTACTTTAATATCTTCTGCGAAGAGAACATGTCTTGAGTCTTGACCATGTTTGGTCTGCAAATGTTAAAATGTTCTTTGTTTAAGCAATTTCGCCGGACTAAGTTTCCCCCTTCTTTGGTTGAAGTTGTTGGCTTGTTGCGCACAGTTAAATAAGACCCCTAGGTAGAAGACCAAACATGGCCAAGACTCAAGACATGTTCTCCTTGCAGAAGATACTAAAGTAAAGTTTCACGTATGATAAATCAACAGCATGCTCGCTACTGTGAGGGTATGCCCATGCGTCACCGCAAAACTGAGGCCCTGGTTTTGGAACCTCAATTGCCTGGTTATGAAATTGGTTTTGCATGGAAAGAGGAAAAATTGCCTGATGATTCTTCATCCTGGCTTAGGATCATATGCAGCCCGCAGGTGATAAAGCGGCAATTTCATATTTTGCATCTTCAAGTAAGATGATGCTTGCAGCGAACTCTGCCAACCAAGGAGACAATAAATAAAGTAGCAAGAAGCTGCGCAATATTTGATCAAATGGGGTTCCAAAACCAGGGTCCCAAAACAGGCAGTTTTGCGGTGACACATGGGTGTACCCTCACAGCATATGTATATATATATAATATGTATTAAAAAAATATGTGTATAATATGTATAATATAATATAATATAATATATATAAATATATATATATTAAATATATAATATATATAATAATATATATATATAATATAATATATGTGTATATATATATAGAATATATTATAAACTATACATATATTATATTATATATAATATATGCTGCATAAAGAGAGAGAGAGAGACAGAAATAGATACACTGATATGCGTCTGGATGTAACTTTGAATATAGAGATACCAAGTATGTATATGTATATACATATAATTATATATGTATGACACATCATATGTACTCTGTGTGCACATCGATTTAGTCCTTTGCCAAACAGAGCACATCAGGTTGGTGCGGCATGCATCCACACCATTGCATCTTCGGGTATCAATGCACGAAAGTATATCTTTCTGTATCTCCCAACATGGTGGATTATGAACTAAATTTTCGACTTACAACGTGTGCAATGTGACAAACAAATAGAACATATGGATTTCATGCAAATTCATTAAAAAAACGTAAAATAAACATCCCATATAATCATAAAGTCCACATATATATGTATATATATATATATATCCCATAATATCCCATAGAAAAACATCCCATGTTAAAAACGTTAAAAGAACGTTTCACAGCATGAAAACTGCTGTAAACATGGCCCAGCTGTACCTCGCGATTGTTCGGCAACGGCCCAGCATCTCTGCACCTGCAGGAGAAGCTGGAGAAGCTGGAGGGTAAGGACGTTTTGGTGTATAGAATCTAAGATACATATAGATAAATCAAAAACAAAACTACATACATTTGCATGTGAATATACGTGAATCAGAATTATGAAGAAATGTATTGTTTGGTAATTTCCATCTATGCAAGTATATATATATACATATATATCTAAGCATAGTTGAACAAACACAGGAAGTATAAACACAGTTTCAATATTACTTGAACGATGAAAAGCACAAAAATGAAGGATACACAATTTTCTACGTGACTCCACAATGAGCCCTCACCGTAGTACAAAGGTGCTGACAAAAAGGCTGGCACTTTATTCTGGTTCTTTTCTGGTATAAACTCGGACATATGTTCCAAGTTCGGGCGTTTCTCCTGGCAAGTCTTCTGACGTACCCTGACATCCCTTATATCATATCTGGTTGGTGGTTTCAACATGTTTCAACATGTTTCAACCCATCTGAAAAATATTAGTCAGTTGGGATGATGACATTCCCAACTGAATGGAAAGTCATAAAATTCATGTTCCAGTTTCCACCAACCAGATTTATTGTTATTCCCATTATCAACCATTATTAACCATAGATTAACCATAGATTAACCATAGATTAATCACCAACCAGACATATATTCTGACATATATTCTGGCATTTCTCCTGTTGACAAATCTTCGAGGAAAATCTGACTGCGAATCTCAGGTGACCTGGGTGACCTGTGGCAAGTTTGAAAAGCCACAGCTATTTTGACATACAAAACGAGTACCCTCTGGTTATGACTAACATAGCGAACTGGAAAATCACCATGATTCATGGGAAAATCCACTATTTCTATGGTCATTTTCAATAGCTATGTTAAATTACCAGAGGGTATAGTTTTCTGACATCAACTTCTACATTTAGTATATTTTAGTATCATCTCTGAGAATCTCTGACATATCTTCTCACATTTCTCCAAAAAATCCTCTGACAAAAAAGGGGGTTTGCATAGTCATAGGGGTACCCCAAATCATCCATTTCTATAGGATGTTCCATGAAACTCATGAAATAAACCATCCAGCTAGTGGGGTTATATTGCTACCTGGCAAGGTCTTGGTCATATTGTGTATTCTTTCTCCTATATAAAGAAAACGATAAAGAGGAAATTAATGTTGGTGAAAAAGAATATCTTTCCAACTAGTTGTAGTTCCTATATCATACGCATTGTGACACAACAAATTATATTGCCAAAAAACTGGTCTTGAGTCTTGCAGAGAGCTGCTTCTTTACATTTGTCATACCCAAAATATCCAATTTTTTTTTCCAAAGTCAGCTTCCATGAACATGGGGTGCATAGTATCGCGCTTTAACCATATTGAGCCCCCTTTAAACCAGGACGCCAACCCGATTTTGCAAGCCTCAGGGAGACACTGTGGCCCACTGGAAGCATTGGCTACAAGTCTACAAGTTGATCTTGGACTGCTGAGCTTTCGCCACCCTCATCTGGATTTCCCCACGTCACAACTGATCCATCAACCAGGATGGCAGCAAATGCGGAAAATGTAGCCCGAACCTGCTGCACTTTCCGGAGCCGATCTTTCACTGCAGAGCTATCACCACCAAAATCTGGATCACCCCACGTAACGACAGATTCATCTGCCAGGATTGCAGCAAATGCACGAACTGTGGCCTGAATCTGCTGCACGCTCCTGAGCTGATCTGCCACTGCAGAACTGTCACCACCGAAAGCTGGCTTGCCCCAAGTAACAACAGATCCATCTCCCAAAATGGCAGCAAATGCACAGCTCGTGGACTGAAGCTGCACTGCATTCCTAAGCTTGTCTTGGACTGAAAAGCTATCTCCACCAAATTCTGAATAGCCCCAAGTGACGACAGATCCATTTTCCACGATCGCAGCGAATGCAGCTGCTGTGGCCTGAACCTGCTTCGCATTCCTGAGGTGATCTTGGACTGCGGAGCTGCCACCACCATAGCGCGAATTGCCCCAAGTAACAACAGATCCATCTGCCAGGATCGCAGCAAATGCACGGGCTGTGGCCTGAATCTCCTGCACACTCCTGAGCTGACTTTCGACTGCAGAGCTGTCTCCGCCAAAATCTGGCTCGCCCTCAGCAATAATAGACCCATCTACCAAGATGGCAGCAAGTGCACCCCTCGTGGACTGAATCTGCTTCGCGCTTCTGAGCTGATCTTGGATTGTCGGGTCAGAGAGATCCCATTGAAAATCTGGATCGCCCCATGTAACGACAGATCCATCTGCCAGAATTGCAACAAAAACAAAGCTTGTGGCATGAACCTGCTGCACATTTCTGAGCCCGTCTTGGACTGCAAAGCGGTCACCGCCAAAATCTGGCTTTCCCCACGAAATCACAGATCCATCTGCAAGGATGGCAGCAAATCCAAACCTTGTGGCATGAACCTGCTGCACATGTCTGAGTCGATCTTGGACTTCAGAGCTGTCGCCACCAGAATCTGGTCTGCCCCAGGTCACAATCCTCCCTCCATGGCACCAGATAGCAAAAGCTCCTTCTGTTGCCACCATTTTTGCCTGCTGTGCAACGGCTGTCAGGTGTTCTCCATCTTGAAGCCCTGCAGCTTGGAGGGACTGCATCGGATCAGCCAGGACGTGCCCCTCTGCCGTGACAAGCTTCAGGAAGCCTTGTTCAAAATATCGCTGGGCAACGCATTTCAAGTCCCCAACTTTGGAGGACTGCGACATGGAAAACGGGTTCCGTTTTCCACTCACCAGGGTCACATAGACTTGCAGCATTTGAAGCACAACCAAAATGCTACACTTCCACTCACTGTTTTGCTGTTCCGGAACATCTCGAGCCTGGCCAAACAATTTCTGATGGCTCCAAGTATCCCAATTATATACCCTCTATGGTTGGTTGAATCCCGCTTTTCAGCTGATACTGCCATTGACCTCCAATAAATTGACAAAAAATGTTGCCTCTAAAGTAGATGATTTTCCTTAAGAAACCATTGGTTTTCCACATCTAGAAACCCTTACCTAGAATCTAGAAACCCTACCTAAAAGTGTTAACATATTTTAACATGGAACATCTTAATAACCTTGGATTTTGGGGACCCCAAAATCCCAAATATCCAAAATTAGATCCCATGATTTACCCTTCTTTCTGGATTGGTCTGTAAAAAAAGGAAGACCCCCAAAGAACAACCAAATTTTTGCAAATTTGGGAGGATATCCGATATCCCCAATTCTTGAACAAAGCCATTGCACACAATTGCTGCGACCGAGAAATCCCAAATAACATCCCAATTATATGCCGACGAAACTCACATTGTGGCTTTGCCATCCCACTAATCCCAAATGTTACTCCATGCTTGTGAGTTAAATCACAAGTTGTGTACTCGTGAAGTCTCAATGATGCTTACTTTCCAATAAAATTATCAAGTCCCGTTTCCGCCCCATTAAAAAGTACCCAGAGATGTCCACTACTCAGGGGTTTTTAGCTCCACTAATGATTGGCGAGTTAACCATAGTTGTAGGGGGAAACGCCCAACTGTGGATGATATTACCATAGAAATTCATGGTTGTAGCGATTCAACCCAACTGCAGCAGTATTCATTGGCCCAATTCCCTTGATGCTGAAAACAACTTAACTATTCAGCGTCTAAGCATCTCAAAATTCTTTAAGGATGGTAAAAAGGGGCTACAGGAACGCCATATATATATATATATATATGTATATATATATATATGTATATATGTATATATATATATATATGTATATATGTATATTATATGTATGTAAATATATATATATATATAAACAAACATACATAACATACATAACATACATAACATACATAACATACATAACATACATTACATTACATTACATTACATTACATTATATTACATTACACTACATTGCATTGCATTGCATTACATTACAGTACATTGCATTGCATTACATTACATTACATTGCATTGCATTGCATTGCATTGCATTACATTACATTGCATTGCATTGCATTACATTACATTGCATTGCATTGCATTACATTGCATTGCATTACATTACATTACATTGCATTGCATTGCATTGCATTACATTGCATTGCATTGCATTGCCTTGCCTTGCATTACATTACATTACATTAAAATACATTACATTACATTACGTTACATTACATTACATTACATTGCATTGCATTGCATTACATTACATTACATTGCATTGCATTACATTACATTACATTGCATTGCATTGCATTACATTACATTACATTGCATTGCATTGCATTACATTGCATTGCATTGCATTACATTGCATTGCATTGCATTGCATTGCATTACATTGCATTACATACATACATATAACATTACATACATACATATAACATTTGATGGTAAACTTTCTAGTAAAAACCATAGTTTCCTGTAGATTTTCCCAGAAAATCCCAGGAAAAATCGCAAAACAATACAGGCCCAGGCATCCCCACAATGCTTTACCGCTGCCGGGCCCATCCGTTTCAAGGCGTTGGCAGCTGCTGTTGGCACCTGAAGTCAGAAACCCCAAGAGCTCGCTGGATGTGAAAATCCCTGGAAAATCTTCTTCAACTAATGGAAAAAACGGAAAACACATGGAGAATCCGAAAATCAACTAGATGACTACATGATTTCGGTGGCTAGCCATTAGGAAACCTCCAGAGTAGTTTTTTGGGGCAAGCTTCACCGTTTTTCTGTAGACATTGCTTGACCCGGATTCCACCAAGGATATTGAACAGGTTGTGGGTGCATGATGAGTACTGGAAGGATAAACAGGCTCACCTTCAACCAACAAGATCAAGAATGTGATTCATATGTATAATTGAGTTGCAAGTCAGGAGAATCATGCTGATCGACCTTCTAGCCAAAGCCAATCATCCAACATACAAACCTTTATAGGAACCCCACAAAGGAAAAACCCTGGAACCGTCATTCGTATTTAAAAAATAAAAATAAAGACTAGGGTTTACTTGTCATATGCCTTTCTGTCTTCTTGGGGGTTGCTATAGACTATAGATTCTATAAAACTGTAAATTCAAGAAAGGTAGGAGAAACAAGGAGATGGAATAATCATGGGAGATCAAAGATGAACCAAGCTGGAGACTGGAAGCGATGGCACATCCAAAGTTCGATGATACCAATGATGTGATATGAAATAATGTGCTTTCCCAGGTAATATATACCCTCTGGTAATTTGTTACATAGCTATTGAACATGGCCATAGAAATAGTGGATTTACCCATTGAACATGGTGATTTTCCAGTTCGCAAACGGTTCAATTACCGGTAACTTGGGGTACCCCCATGACTTCGAAATCTCCAGATGTCTGTTGAACTTTGCAATCGCCTGCCAGTCCGAATCTTGGAGCAACTCCACCTCATGGCGCTGACAGTTGGTCCTATGGGCTTTCTGGTGAACATGGGCGATTGATCATATCCTCATGGAAAATCTATGCACATGTATGATGTTCTATGAACATAGGCTGGTTTGGGTAATACTTTCCCACACTTCAGTTGATTGCACATTGGTTATCACCTAATTCATCAAAACAAATCAGTTGTACATTCAGTGCCCATCCAGTCAGTTTCCCCAGAGTTAATACTTGATCTTGCTGGAAATAATATACATACATATACCTGGTTGGTGGTTTCAACCCTCTGAAACATGTGAAAGTCAGTTGGGATGATGAAATTCCCAATATATGGACAAATAAAACATGTTCCAAACCACCAGCCAGTATACTGTGTGTGTAGGCGAGCAAGCATGCGGGCTGCTGATGTCAGTTTCCCACTCCACTTAGCGTGATTTTTTCTGCCATCCAGCTGCATGGCACCCATGGTGAAAAGTGAATAAGCATTCATGTGGCTCAATGGTAATCTGAATTCCTGGACAGAGGTGCTGTAATTAACAGTCGCGGATGCCAACTTGCATGCGGGCATTGCGGCCGGGCAAGGCGCCTTTCAGCAGAAACACACGCAGACGAGGCTATCACGCGACAGCAAAAGCGCAAGGGCATAGATCATGCAGTGGCATAGAGGCATTGCCCAAAACAGAAATGCACGGTCTTCCAGAGGCCCATGAAAAGGTTGCGCTCCATGCCGGTTCCGGATGCACGTACCAAGGGTTTTCAAACTCTACGGCGCCGGGATTTTGGCCTCGATTGTTTTTGCACTCGGGCGCTTGAAAAAATCAGGACAGCGCTTTCAAAGCAGAAGGGAACCAATCTTCACCGCTGGCAACAGAATTTGTCCAACTGGTTCACAAAACTTAAACTGTAGCATATAGCTGTGTTCATGCTTTGCTCGCAAGTCACTTGCCATCAGCTCTCACAATCTTCTGTGCATGTGCCACACATGAATGCAGGCAATGGTTTCTTTATGAACCGCAACAGCAGCAAACTGGGCAGCAGTTGCAGCCTAGCCCTGGCATGCAGTTGCGCGTGAGCCCCTGGCATATCATTGAGCAGCAAAAACAAGAGAACGCAGCCTAATTCCTAGAAGCGCGCGGCTGCAAGGCATCAGTTGCACATATCCAGCACTACGGTATATATTACATACATATTGTATTATATCATATCACATCATAGTAAAGTATATTATATTATGTTAAATTATATATTATACATTATATATTATATATTATATATTTAATATTAAATATTAAACATATTAAATATTATATATTACACATATTAAATATTATATATTATATATATATGATATATTATATATGGTCACCGACAGAATTATGGAAAAAAATAAAACGTTCAACTTAGACAGGCAGCGCCTGCGTCCGATTTTTCCATAATTGGATTTTTCCCCATAAGGGTTCAAAATATCCCGGAAGTGATCCGAACCTTTTTTTTTCCATAATTCTTGGAGGTGACCATTATTTCCATAATTGTTTTTTCCTGTAAAATCAGGGGGGCTAGGGCAGATTGACCGGTTTTTCCATAATTATTTTTTCCATAATTATTTTTTCCATAATTAATATTTGGGGCTCCACCTGTTGGACATGTCATGGATCCACAATTCAAACCCCTTTTTTTTGGGGGGTTATGGAAGTATGTATGCAAATGCAAGTATGTAGTATCAACCCAATTGGTGGCTTGGCAAAAGGATACATCCCGCATATGTATGTACGTACAACAATGAGTTTTGGTGGTGCAATTATATATCAATGGAAGACTTAGGGGCATATACCAGATCTTTAGACACATATTTTCTATAATTCAATATTCCCCCTTAAAATGCATTCAAATTGCGAATCGATGGACATACAGTCACCGACAGAATTATGGAAAAAAAAATATGGAAAAAATAATTATGGAAAAAAAAGGTTCGTAACTTTTCTATCATAAACAGGCGGCGCCTGTAAATTGAAACGTTTTTTTTTCCATAATTCTGTCGGTGGCTGTATTATATATTATATATTATGTATTATATGTTATATATTGTGTATTATGTATATGTTATATGTTATATGTTATATGTTATATGTTATGTATATTATATATTATATTGTATATTAAATATTACAAGTTATATCTTATATTCAACATATATTATATTGTATATTACAAATTATATATAGATGTATCTGTATGTATATATAAACATTATGTGTAATATTATATTATGAAACAGTAGATGTAATATGATGTAATATCCCCTGGAAATGGCGCCCGCACCACGGCAGCGGCATGTTCTACGGCCTCGGGTTTTTCGTCGCTGATGTCGGTGATGGCGGATTTTTTATGGCACAAAAATTGGCAAAATTCATGGACATCCATGGCGAATCTAAAATGTGTGGGTGAATTCATGGCACTTCATGGACTTGATGCACATTTGTGGATCAATTTAGCCATTCATGACAATAGATGGCCATGTATGGTAATTTTGTGGTAACTTCAATGGGGAAAGGACAATTAGTGAAGGAAAATCATGTTTTTTTTTTCAGGGGAATATGGCAACAGTTGGCAACACATGGGATACATCACGGGATTCATGGGATCAAACCAAACATGGGCGGCTATCACCGCTATCACCGAAAATTGATCAACCGGGATATGAAAATCAATGGGAAGGATTATCCGGTTGTCCCATATATTATGGAAAATAAAAAATGATCCAAACCACCAACCAGTTATTGAACCCCCAGATGGTTTAACAGTCACAAGTCACATTGATCATAATTTGTGTTTCCATATACCACAGTTTCAACGCACAATAATTTTCCACTCTCACCAAGCAGCTTCAAAAAGTATTCTCAACTTTCCGGCAACTACTTTCCAAATTGCCAGCTACCATAACCGTTAACCTAGCAACGGGAGTTTGGTCACTCTTCATATGGGTCTATCTTAAAATGGGGAGGATCTCAATTTACAGCTGCTTTTGTGGAGGAAATGAGGATAAAACTCATGCTAATTTGGGGTTCAAAGGTGCCCTCTCAAAGGTCAACCCCAACGTTTGCGATAGCCTTCTGTTTTGTTGTTATAGAAACCCCCAAAAAATGCCGGAGCACGTTACAAAAGGATGGTAGTTCGATTATTCTGTTTCAATTGTTCTATCTGTTTTGCAAGGAGCCCCCCCAAGTTATGTTGAAGTTATGCATGTTATAAATTAAGTTAAGGAAGTTATGTTGAAGTTATGTTAAGTTACGTTAAAGGTGGATATAAGTAAGTTATAACTTTTCTATCTTTTTTGTATCTTTTTAGTTTTGCATTTTTTCATTTCGAGGAAAAACGTTTTTTTTTTCGTTTTTTTTCGTGGAGTTGTCAAATTGCAGCGATTTCACCTCTTTTTTCCGCTTGGCCAGCAGAATTATGGAAAAAAATAAAACGTTCAACTTAGACAGGCAGCGCCTGCGTCCGATTTTTCCATAATTGGATTTTTCCCCATAAGGGTTCAAAATATCCCGGAAGTGATCCGAACCTTTTTTTTTCCATAATTCTTGGAGGTGGCCATTATTTCCATAATTGTTTTTTCCTGTAAAATCAGGGGGCTAGGGCAGATTGACCGGTTTTTCCATAATTATTTTTTCCATAATTATTTTTTCCATAATTAATGTTTGGGGCTCCACCTGTTGGACATGTCATGGATCCACAATTCAAATCCCTTTTTTTTGGGGGGTTATGGAAGTATGTATGCAAATGCAAGTATGTAGTATCAACCCAATTGGTGGCTTGGCAAAAGGATACATCCCGCATATGTATGTACGTACAACAATGAGTTTTGGTGGTGCAATTATATATCAATGGAAGACTTAGGGGCATATACCAGATCTTTAAACACATATTTTCTATAATTCAATATTCCCCCTTAAAATGCATTCAAATTGCGAATCGATGGACATACAGTCACCGACAGAATTATGGAAAAAAAAATATGGAAAAAATAATTATGGAAAAAAAAAGGTTCGTAACTTTTCTATCATAAACAGGCGGCGCCTGTAAATTGAAACGTTTTTTTTCCATAATTCTGTCGGTGACTGTATTATATATTATATATTATGTATTATATGTTATATATTATGTATTATGTACATATTATATGTTATATGTTATATGTTATATGTTATATATAATATATATTATATTGTATATTAAATATTACAAGTTATATCTTATATTCAACATATATTATATTGTATATTACAAATTATATATAGATGTATCTGTATGTATATATAAACATTATGTGTAATATTATATTATGAAACAGTAGATGTAATATGATGTAATATCCCCTGGAAATGGCGCCCGCACCACGGCAGCGGCATGTTCTACGGCCTCGGGTTTTTCGTCGCTGATGTCGGTGATGGCGGATTTTTTATGGCACAAAAATTGGCAAAATTCATGGACATTCATGGCGAATCTAAAATGTGTGGGTGAATTCATGGCACTTCATGGACTTGATGCACATTTGTGGATCAATTTAGCCATTCATGACAATAGATGGCCATGTATGGTAATTTTGTGGTAACTTCAATGGGGAAAGGACAATTAGTGAAGGAAAATCATGTTTTTTTTTCAGGGGAATATGGCAACAGTTGGCAACACATGGGATACATCACGGGATTCATGGGATCAAACCAAACATGGGCGGCTATCACCGCTATCACCGAAAATTGATCAACCAGGATCAGTACTGGGTCAAACTTATACTGGTTGGTGATTTTAACCATCTTGAAGAATATGAAAATCAATGGGAAGGATTATCCGGTTGTCCCATATATTATGGAAAATAAAAAATGATCCAAACCACCAACCAGTTATTGAACCCCCAGATGGTTTAACAGTCACAAGTCACATTGATCATAATTTGTGTTTCCATATACCACAGTTTCAACGCACAATAATTTTCCACTCTCACCAAGCAGCTTCAAAAAGTATTCTCAGCTTTCCGGCAACTACTTTCCAAATTGCCAGCTACCATAACCGTTAACCTAGCAACGGGAGTTTGGTCACTCTTCATATGGGTCTATCTTAAAATGGGGAGGATCTCAATTTACAGCTGCTTTTGTGGAGGAAATGAGGATAAAACTCATGCTAATTTGGGGTTCAAAGGTGCCCTCTCAAAGGTCAACCCCAACGTTTGCGATAGCCTTCTGTTTTGTTGTTATAGAAACCCCCAAAAAATGCCGGAGCACGTTACAAAAGGATGGTAGTTCGATTATTCTGTTTCAATTGTTCTATCTGTTTTGCAAGGAGCCCCCCCAAGTTATGTTGAAGTTATGCATGTTATAAATTAAGTTAAGGAAGTTATGTTGAAGTTATGTTAAGTTACGTTAAAGGTGGATATAAGTAAGTTATAACTTTTCTATCTTTTTTGTATCTTTTTAGTTTTGCATTTTTTCATTTCGAGGAAAAACGGTTTTTTTTCGTTTTTTTCGTGGAGTTGTCAAATTGCAGCGATTTCACCTCTTTTTTCCGCTTGGCCAGCACGGCAACGGTCAGCTTCGATCTCTCTCGCAAGAGTATTTTCAGCAGGAGTAGCCATATCTTCAGCCGGAGTAGCTATATATATGATTCAAAACAAGGACGGCAAAAGTTACAGCAGCGAGCCGTTTGACTGCGCACCCACAACTCTGTCTTGAGAGTGCAAAAGTTGCGGAGAATCTTGCTCATTTTTCTATAGTCTTCAGTGTTTTGTGGAAAAATACATTGGTACATTTGCTTCCGGGGCTTTCAAAGTACAATATATAAACGCGTTTCCTTAACTCTAAAGGAATATACATACGAGTTTTTGGGTTTTCTTTTGCTTTGAAAGCAACATACATACGCGTTTTTTTTTTGAGATGTTATCATGTGTGAAAAAATACAAAAAAATACAAAAAATACAAAAAATACATTAAAAATACATCCCCGACATAGCATATCAATCAACAAAAACACGAGGACACATGTGAAAACACAGAGGAAAGCGTGCCCACTGTTGCATTTGAGCCCGAGGCTGCTCAGAAGCAGCTATTTGAGCCCGAGGCTGCTCAGAAGCAGCTTGAAGCAGACCCGCCCCTTGGATGGCAAAAAGACACCAAAAACCCGAAGAGCTCGCCAAAACTGAGAACTAACGCTAAATTTGAACCAAACGCAGCAAAAGATCCCAAAATGAAGCAAAAATGGCAAACCGAGCTAACTTTCAAAAGTTGAAAATAAAAAAGTTAACTTTGCTAACTTTTTTGTATCTTTTTAGTATCTTTCCACTTAAAGATACAAGTTATCTTATAAGTCCATAACTAAGATATAATTTTAAAATAAGTTATGGAATTTATAACATGAGATAACCCTTGTTATAACATATGTTAACCCTGGTTATAAGTCAAGTTATAAGTAGGGGGTGCTCCTTGTGTTGTTATTAAGTAATAAAAACAATTCGTAGGGGCTTGCCATTAGCCCCTATAGTTGAGTCGGGTCGTTGTTGGTTGCGTGATGGGCTCATCCAAAAATAGTAAAGTTATATATTCTCAAAACTACCCACTATCTTTGCAGCTTGGTGGTATGTTGATCCCTTGCTAAAAGGTGACAACTTTAGTGGTATCATAAAAGTGGTAAATCCTCCTAATCATGTCCTAATCCTCAAGAATCAAAGTTTGTGGTCCCACAATCATTGGAGATGCCGAATGAGAAATGTCACCGCTATTTTCATGTGAACATGTCCCGAATATGATCAAAATGATGAAGTCCCATTACACCCCAGAACATCCCATCAAATAATCCCATTAAATCCCATCAAACCCCAGAACATTCCATTAAACTAAATCGGAAAAAAACGTGGAAAAACACCATATATTCCAACATATATTCCAAGCATTCTATTGGCAACTTCCATCTTCCATCAGATTCCATCACAGTTGGGCTCTGCGACGGCTGTGCCCATCAAACCAAGGGCTTCACAGGCCGCCTGGAGTTCCGGATCCCGGGAACAGTAACTCATCGCCCCAAACATGTCCAAGAAATGCCATGTTTTGGACTCCCCAATTTCTAATTCTACATATCCAATACATTCCAATACCAAATTCCAGGCTAGGGGAGATTTGATTGGATATCATTCCGACAGGGGTCGATATGGCCGTTTACGGAAAGGATTTTACGGAAATTCACCAAGAAAACTCGTGATGTTGACATTCTTGGGATCATCAAAAATTGAGAGTGCTGTCTGAAAATGTGGTACGAGTATATCATGCTATACCTTCTACAGTAAATGGCCATGAAAAATGTGGAAATTGATGACTAAACAATGGATTTATATAGAGGTCCCCGATTTTCAGACAAAACCGTGTAAAAAATGTTGAAACATGTGCAACCCCACCTTCTTGTCAATGTTCATCAATGTTCCCCCAATGACAACCACTGAGACTATGCATGCTATTCAAAATAGGAGATGTCGAGCATAATTTACCCGATTCAGGAGGTGGCATCAACAAACTTGGATGGTGCGGGGACTAAGACAATGTGTGGTAACCTTGATATTTATCAATACTGTTTGTTTGCTTTGACTGGTTTGATGGAGTGTCATATTTCGGGATCAAACGACATGTACTTACTGGACGTACAGGGACTATCCACTGGTTAATCACAAGTTTCCCTACTAAATTACAAGAAAAAACCAAGGGTGTACCGTTGATTTTCCCAAACAATTCGGTCTTGGGCCACACCAGATCCAACTTCGGACCACAAAGGCCAGCACCTGAATTGACATATGAGTACTAAAAAACACACATTTGTCTATTAAATTTTGAAAGGATAGTTCTTGATCCAAAAATCCAATGCTAAACCAATCTTAGCAGGCCAAAACCAATGAAACAAATTCTGGGTGTCCATCTTGACTTTCGAAGCGTTCCCAAACAGTGGTTGAACTAATGGAGCCGTGCAAAAGGATGCGGCAGTGCTCACGCCGTTTGCGGCCTGTGTCCGCATGCCCGTCCCCAAAGAGCAATAAGGGTGCGTCTGGGTTTGACGAATCTAACTCATGTTGGGCCGCAGGGTATGCGCAGATTTTGGCAGTACTGCCGCAGATTTTCGTCCTATTCCATTAATAACTGAACGGATGTCCAAGATGGCCTAGTTCAGGGTGTTTGGTTTTTCGCGGCAATTCGGTTTCATCTGAAAACTCGCAATCATTCCAAACTGCCCATTTGATTTGGTTCCTGTTTGAAATGGGGCAGTGATCAACTGCTTTATAGCCCCCATGAGCTGCAGTTATATGCAATTATATATATATATAAATACACATGCATACTGCATATATACATATATATATAAGCCCTGCTGATTGCAGCTGAAAACCATTTTAGTGATTCACAAAACCAACCCGTGGTTGTTTGACTGACAAAACCATGTTCGGAGCTGTGAGCCGCGTCGCCTCTCTCTCGCGGGGTTTCTCTGACTCAAGCTTCTCCACGCAATGCTTCGCCATGCATCCACCTTCACACATCTTTGGGAGTGCGTTTCACAGCATCTCAAAGATATAAACCAATTGGGAATCAATCATCGCAAACACTATCACACACAAGGGCGGACAAGTATTGAAAACTGATACCGTAAGCTCAGGCTGGGCTCTTCCTTGATAACATCCCCTTCTGAATGCTTTGTGGTGGGCCGAAGCCGTTAAGGCGGAGGGTCGCGGAAGTACGGAGCTGCCAGCTTATGCTCGGATCTCAGCGGTTCCCGGATGTTCACGCTAGGTTCTCGGCGGGTTTGGCTTCGTTCCATATATGATTTCTGAGGAAGTATTTTGGGGTTGATTTAGGGGGTCAAGTACCTTCTCAGGTAGTATTTGGATCCATATAGGTGTAGTTGAATATCACCATTCTACTGTTTTTTTTCAGAGCAGCAACCTGACAGTCCAGAGTGTGGTCGTTGTTTCTTGTCAACATGCCGATGCCCGATGCCTTAACATCATCGATGATGAGAACACCCAAAGTTAACCTATAGCATGACATCTTGCTTGATAACCGTATTTTTTGCATCCCCGTGGTTGAAAAAAATCACTTATGTAAAACATATACCGTATACCGTATTTTATATATAATTAAATATAATATACATGCATCAAAATCAAACATTCCTGAAAGTTATGCCCACTTCCTACTTGGTATCCCAAGCACTCTTGAACCACAGCGGGTTACTGCCTTTGACCGGCAAGTGAACTGGTTTTTCGACCAAAATCTCTGGTCCTGAATTTAGAAACGATTGAGCAGTTTCAAAAACCCTATTGACTTTCCTGTTAACTCTCAAGTCTCTTTCGCGGCTACTTTCGCGACCCTTTCGCGGCCTGTGTTTTGACTTTCGCGAAAGAAGCAGAGTTACCAATTTTCATAAATCCTTTCCCGGAGGTTTTTGAAGCTGCACAATTGACCATTACCCAGGGGATTTAGTTAGTTAGTTGACCATTACACAGGGGATTTTCAATCAATTACCATCAACTACCCATAAGTTGGTACCATAAGTAACTTCACTTGTAGTTGAGCATCCGATCCCAACAGTAATGATGATGCGGACCTTCATGCTGAAAGAAACTTGGTGTGTCACCATGTTCACCAGCCGCCAGCTAACTGAAGTTATCTATAATATTATGTAATATTATGTAATATTGCCCTACGGGAGAATATATCCTACTTGTCTGACAAATGTGAAACATAATGAGCCATTGTATGGCAAAAAAAAAGTGCGCTCGTCGTGAGCAGGGGAGCAACGTCGTTGCCCAGCAAAAGGGACAGACCATCAGCCCTAGCTGACGCCGTCGCAAAAAAGGGCAGTGGCAGTTGTCAACTGACCGGAAAAGGAGAACCCCAGCCACCCGGCGACAGGAAAAAGGGCGCTGGGGAACTCAAGGCAAAGGCCAGCCTCGAGGGTGAACCAAGGTGGAGACACCCAGGAGGTGGCTCAGTGGCCCGCTCAGGAAGGTTACGGAGAAGTCACTGAAGGTCCATGATGGTGCTTCACTCGAGTCGCCGCATTATGGCCCTGGCATTCTCCCGGTGCAACGCAATGCCGAGGGCCTGCAGCAAGCGCTGCAGTTCCACGGAGCTGCTTTCACTTGTCCTGGCAGCGATAGCGGCCGAGAGGGACCTCCACGTTTTCAAAGCGGTGGGCCCCCAGCCTCCACCGCAGGCTTCGACCACAAGGGGAATGAATTGCAGGCCCTCAGTGGCACAGGCCTGCAACGTGTCCAAGTGGTGGCACTTCCGAACTTCGTAATCCATGCTCGCTTTGCTGCCATCAGCGGCTGAAGCAGCAAGGTGGCCTTGCCGCAAGCCAGAAGTGACCGCAACATCGAAAGCGGCAGGGCCATGAAGGTTCCAGTTGGCGATCCAGACATCAGCTGGGCGACGGCCATTTCCACGAGGCTGTGATCCATCTTCGGTGCCCCCCTGGAGCTCCGGCCGCGGAGGGAGCAAGTTCGGTTTCTCGACTTCCGGTTGCAAGCCAGCAGCGCGGGCACGCCCTGCCAGGATGTTGCGCAGCTGGTTGTGTCTCTTGACCCTGTCGCCCCCGCAGGGGCACACACGGGCATGGTCCCCGAAGCTATCTGAAGTGCCATCACGACACAAGGGGCAAGCCATGTCAGAATCGGCAATAGGCAAGCGAAGCCGCAGGCTGTCTCCAAAGATGGGCCGGCAACTGCGGGGGCAGCAGCGGCAGGGGCTGCCGCGGCAGCTCGACGAGCAGCTGGCCGGCAGCGTGGGTGAGCACCATTGTAGCGCGAAGAAACCAACCCCCCGCACACAGAGCAAGGTGCTGGCGGGCACGGTAAGCTTGAGGGACGTCCCCATCAAGCGTTCCGGCCGCGTGGTCCTCGAGATGGGCCTCATAGCGGGATGGGAGGTCCAGCCGCGGCTGCCAGGCATGCTGGCCGGGCATCCTGGGACAGGGCAGAAAACGCGGTCAGGGGAGCGCTGGCCGGGAGGGGGAGAACGTTCCCGGTCATAGCTGCCCGAAGCGTCGACTGCCATGGGCTGCCTCTCGCCGCCCAGCGGTGTGCCATGGGACGGTGGCCCCGGGTTGGACGCCTCGCCGACGCGGCAGCCAGCAAAGCCGCAGCGTCGGCGGAGTCGCTGCACCCGACGATGAGGAGGACGCCGGGGCACCCACGCGGCCCGATGCCGACGCCACGAAGGGGTCGGGAGCGCCCGCCCCCACGTGGCAAGCGGCGCAGGGCAAGTCGCCCAAGCAACCAGAAGCGCTGGTGTGAGTCGCTTCCGCTGCTGGCGGTTGGCCGGCCCTGGCAGCTGAGATAGTAGCCCGGGCGCGCGATGCTTGTCAGCGTCGGGGGTGAAAGAAGGGCAAAGGAGCCCCGCAGAAGGGAGGCCCCCGGAGCGCGAGCAATGCCACGAGATGGGCCAGCCCAAGCCAAGAAGCACCAGGCAAAGGTGCCATGGCGGGGCGCTGCCGGGAAGTGCGGGCAGGCCGAGGGAGCACACCAGAGGTCCGAAGACGTGGGGCCCACGACACGACGTGCCAGCACTTCCCAGCAGCCACCCAAAAGAGCTGCAGGAGGTGCGGGCAGGCCGAGGGAGCACACCAGAGGTCCGAAGACGTGGGGCCCGCGACACCACCTGCCGGCACCACCCTGCAGCTGCAAAGCCGCGGGGGGGCTTGAGCCTTGAGCCAGCTTGAGCCAAGTGAAAGGTCCCATGATCCCAATGAAAACAGCGCCGAGGTGTCGCCTTATGTCGCCGCGCTGTGCCGTGCCCACAGCGAATTTAACACAACAGTATCGCCAAGCCATCTAGTATTGCACTGTATTGCATACATGTGATACATACATGTGATACATACATGATTCATACATGTGATATTTTGTAATATCATACCTACATCACGGGTGGACTATGCCGTACGCATCGATATGCCAAAAGGATCCAAAAGGGTCGTCTCCCAAGAAAAGTGAAGGTTTCTATGTCCATTGGCCGGCAAGAACCTGCATAAGTTGGGATATGCGTCACAACTATGGGTTATATAACCCGCTTGTTAGTGGAACTGCGCCTCCAAGTATGGCAAAATGATGGCTCAATGTGCAAGATTGAAATCATCAGCAGGTTGCAAGGAATAGGAGTGGCAAAGCCCCAGCCAGCAGGACAAACCTACTTTTTTTTTTGTCTTCTTGTGAAACCACGAGCCTATCCGATTGAAAACTTCTTTGAATGCAGGGATCATCACCCAGAAAAAGCGGAAAACCGAACAGTTGCGGCAACAGACCAAACATGACCAGTCTCCAGTAGCCGAAAATTGATAGCATCCGAATGGATTCTCAAATCTCGTTGGTGAAATTTATGGCCTACCAACGAATGACCTGCAGCTTTCGTCATCAGGTTTCGGTCGAGGCAAGAAAAACATCTCTGTTAATGGCTCATAGTCGTGGAAAATCTCGAAGAATCCATTCTCGAAACAAGCCGCCATTTATGTTGCTTGAACGAACGCATTGTTTGATGTAATTCCTTAATCCGCAATGACGTGATAATGTTCATCTTTAAAAAAAAACATGATCATCCACTCCATTTTTCTATGGATACACCACGGTGAACGTACCTCGCATGGTTGGCGATGTATTTATCCTATTTTACCAGTGCAACTTTTGTTGTTTTCCACGCTTAAAATCTTGGTTAAATCCTCCGATTCCATATCCTCACCTACTACGATTCCAACTTCAATGTTCCTACTGAATCCATGGAATTTAGAGGGACTCCCTGGCTGCTGGTACCTCTCCCACAAGCTTCCCATACGGTATGGGAGGCTTTCCGGAGCAGTATGGGAGGCTTATGAGAGGGTCCCATCAGCCAGGGGGTCCCTATGTATTTCACCAATATTAGGTAGTAAGCCATCTGTGTAAACCTAATGATTAAGCATTAAAAGCAAATGCATGAAACATCATCATAGTCATAGTACTCCATAAAGCATCAATTCTCAATTATAGTATACTATACTTACCCTCTGGTAAACACACAAAAAACTATGGAAAATCACCATTTTGAATGGGTAAATCAACTATTTCTATGGCCATTTTCAATAGCTATGTAACAAATTACCAGAGGGTCTATCTCCCATTCATCAACCCAAAGGAATTCACCAAGGCTTTTTCTGTGTCAACTTCTCGTGATTTCCTTCGGAAGGGCCGAAAACCGCCATTGGGTTGATCATCCCCATGGAAACACCATGGGATGCCATTATAATGTTTTTTGTGGCTTAAATTTCTTAAATTGTCAGTTTTCATCATATTTTTTCTCAGACATTTTCCGCATGTTGTTATGTTTGATGATGGAAAAAAAAGCGCCGTTTCTCTTGCTTCTCCCCTGGTCACCCTAGACCTAGCCAGGTCATCGCCGACCCCCCAGACCTAGCTTCCCCAAAGTGGCAGTGGCTGTCATCCGAACCTTGCTTCGATTTGAAATCAAACGACAAAAACTTGGCCTTTTTTTTGGTAGTACTGTCAGTACACATATATTATGATATATTATATATATATTATAATATAGTGTAATATGTATGTATATATATATATACACCATATATAACATATACATATATACAGTATATATATATATGATAAACCTTTGTTGATTAATTTGGTCGGTTATCTCCAACGGTGATGATTTGCTACTTAAATGGTGCCGGTCTATTTGAACGGCCTAGGGGGGTATTTATCCGGGGTTGACATTAGTCATAGAAATATAAGTAATTGTATTGTAGAGAGATAACTATCTAAACAAATTGCTGTATGGAATATTACATGTGCGGATAAGAATCAGATATAATCAGATAGTGTGTAATAGTGACATATTCAAATATCACCTAAATATACCGATGTATCTTACTTTTGTTATGCAAATATAGTTAGTCATAGTACACACATAATATATATATATATGATATGGATATACGGAGTACTATGTGTGGATATTAATTGTATGGGAATAATCGGAATAATTACCACATGGGCTGATCCTCCAAGCAATATACTGAATAAGTGTCTGCTAGTTTAATTACCCTCTGGTTATTTAACATAGCCATGGTATAGATGGCCCATTTATAGATGGTTTACCTATTAAAAATGGTGATCTTCCATGGCTATGTTAAATAACCAGATGGTATTTCACTAGGTGTATTATTTGATTTGTGCAGATGAATTGAACTACAAGTAGTTGGAAAGGGTAACTTAAAACATTAATCAAGCAGAAGGGTTTCTCATGGGGATATTGATAGTGTCTGGGAATATACTGGGATATAATTTGTATATGATGCTATGCCACCCCCAGCTAGACATCCCAAATAATTCATGCGTGCGATAGATTCAAACAAACACATATGCACATATTCTAGCGGATTTGCCCGGATTTGCATCATCAATGTTGAGTAACATGAACAACGCACCAAAGTCTCGAAAAGACAGCGCAGTCCTGAGAATGACCTGTGTTTAAAGGGGAACATGGTCTTCGGTCTATGGAAGTTGGAATGATGGTAACTATGCAGTCTTTTGAGTGCTCGATTTCGACCCCCTTAGCTCTGTGTCACAAGTAAAACATATAGAAACCTGGGTCGCATCATGAGGCATCCGACATTTTGAAACAACTTTGGGCAGCTTTGAAACGTTCTTCAATGGTCAAAGGTGCCTCCAACCAAAAACCATCTCAGATATGTTGTCGACTTGGAATTCTGGAAATTTCTGGAAATGCAGAATTCCGTTGAGGCTTCACCGTACATTTGATGATGTAGGGTGAACAACATATTGATCTACTGGTTGGTGGTTGAGCCCTACCCCTCCGAAAAGTTGGGAGTATGAAATTCCCAACTGAATGGAAAATAAATGTTCCAAACCACAAACCAGATTATTAACTATTCTCAACTATTATCATCGGGGATTATTTCAGATGATTATCTATTATATCATGATTGTATGATTATCTACTATGTATACACTGTTGAACTATTGATTTCCGGTGGAATATGATTGAGTAGAGTTGTCTAAACTTCAAAAAATGATGCGTAGAATCAGCTCCCACCAACTCAACCTTCAAAAGTTCACGTTTTGAGAATAGAACGTGCGCAAAACATGAAGGAACCAGGTCACCATCGGTTGATTGATTTGTGGAGGAAAGTACTCCGAAAAAAAATGTGGATGCGTTAAGGGGGTCATGAATGCGGGGTGGACATCAACTGGATAACACATCCTTTTAGTTTTCCGAAAACCCAAGAATCCAGCCAGGATTATCATTATGTTTCCAATCAATCTATCATAGTTTTGGGGTATTTCATGCAAACCCAAACGAAGGAAATTCAATAGTTGCCAACTTAAAATGAAAGTGGAGCGTGCCTTATCCTATGTTTTTGTTGGAACAACCTATATAATATATAATTACTCAGTATCTCAGTATTTGCCGGCTAATTTGGCATAATGAATAACTATCATCAATTTGCTTAGCTTTGCCACTCAAACCATCATGTTTATCAAGGTCCTCTTCATGTTGCTGCTAAAACCACCATGTTAATCCATATTCAACAGGTAAATGTACCATAATGATCAGTAATAGTTGCTCATCTACTAGTAAAACCATGAGTTTTCCCAGGTTTCCATCATTTTCCTCTATTTTCTATCACACGTCCCCAATTTTTCACTATTTTCCCAACATGTTTCACCATTTTGTCATCATTTTTCACACTTTTTTCATCATTTTTCACCATTTTCCCAGCATTTTTCACACTTTTTTCATCATTTTTCACCATTTTCCCAGCATTTTTCACACTTGTTTCATCATTTTTCACCATTTTCCCAGCATTTTTCACCCGTCCCCGGAAACGCCAAAGCACCGTGGTCTCCTGGTCCCCCAGAAGCTGTGACAGCTGCGCGCCGTGGGAGGTGGCATCTTTGCCCAACCTGCTAGGGTATGTTAATGGAATATAGAGAAATCTATGGTTAATCTATGATTAATCTATGGTTAATATATGGTTAATCTATGGTTAATATATGGATAATAATAGTTATCTATGATTAACCTGGAAATAGGTAAATCACCATCTTTAATATGTAAATCAACTGTAAATGAGCCATTTTCAATAGCTATGTAACAAATTATTAGAGGATAGAGGGAAAATGGTGGTTCAACAATCGGGAAAATGGTGGTTCCAATATGAAATCCCATTAAAACTGCCTGTTGATGAAATCCCATGAAATCCCATAGGAATGTTGATGGAATATAGGTATGAGATCAACAGGCAGTTTCAGTGGGATTTCATGGGAATCGAATGAGATCTCATGAAATACATGGGGGCCACATGGGGTTACGGTCTGAGAAACGTATGGAGCGTATTATATGTTTTTTTTTTGCGTTATTATATGGGAAATCTACAGGATGGGCCCCCAGCTTATTAGTTATATAAGTTGGTGAAGATAGCTATAATAACACTAGTGTACGATTCTTACAGTTATACTCAGATGCGGCTATAAACCAACTTATAACTGGGGGGCACCATCCTGTACCCTCATATGTATATATGCATATACCCTCTGGCAAACATAGCTGTGAAAATTACCATGTTGAATATGAAAATCATCTATAATCGGTTCATTTTCCATAGCTATGTTAAGTTTCCAGAGGGTATGTATATAAAGTCTGTCAGTCTGTCAGAATATACCCATCATATACCCATCATATATCCATCATATATGGTATCATATCTACCAAAGATGAGTATAACATACATATATATATATATACACATGATATTATGCATATCATGTTATGTGTGTATGATATATGATGGGTATATATCCCTCTGATAGGTATATGATGGGTATGTATGATATACATATATATATGATGGGTATGTATGACATATGTACATATATATATGGTGTATATATATGGTATATATATATATGATATATATATATGATATATATATATGATATATGATATATATATATATACCTGTATTACATATGATGAAACTAGTTTATATGAATATGTTTCATGGCTTTGGGTAGGAACCAATACGAATATGGCTATATATGGTATAACTGCCATGTGCATATATATATATATATATGATATTTACATACAATAATAAATATATATATATACACACCATAGTACATAAATGACGTTATAATGACTGCACAACATACTTGATTACCTGACAATGATATTGGCATAGTCATGGCATAATTAATCACACACACACACCATCCTTCACCCACCTCCCTAGCGCTTCTGCTGCAGTGCTTCGCACGGCCGCGTCCTCGCTTTGCAACAGGGAGGCGCAACGCGCTGCAGCGCCCTGCGGAATCCGGGAGTCAGAAGGAGCCGCGCGCATCCCTTTGAAATGGCTCTGAAAATGGATAGCCTCTGGTAAACATACAAAAAAACATGGAAAATCACCATTTTTAATGGGTAAATCAACGAACTAAATGGGCCATTTTCAATAGCTATGTAACAAATTACCAGAGGGTACCCAGAACAAGGATTTCTGTTCACATGGCACACTGTTGATTCATCGTTAACTTTTGGGTCCCAATTCCCAAGAAGGGGGGTGGACAAATTGTGGGAAAAATGGTACCATTTCTAGGGAAATTCTACAGGAAACTCTGGATTCATCCCCAAGTATGCCGCGTTCCTTTAAAATTTATCTCCAACATAGGATTTCGACACTCAGCAAAAGGGAGATGTTCGGAGATGTTACTGGAAAAACAGATTTCACTGGAAGCTTGAGTGAATGGGGATTCCACTGCCAGAAGCATCGTCAATTTAGTGGCCTAATCACTCACCAAGCTGGTCAAGCTAGAATGATTGCTGGCAAGGTTCGCCATTTCCTACACATGACCCCCTTTCCTACACATCATTTTAGTGAGGTCGGTAGTGAAGTTGGTGTAATTTTACCCAGATACCATATCTCAGCTGGGTTTGTTTGAAAATGAGGTAGATCCAAGATTGGCATCAAACAATGGAGAAAAACAAATTGAAAACCAGGATAGCCATTGATCTTGACCCACATGAGCAGTGTCACAAGCCTGATGAAACAATTCCAAAAGCAAAAAATGAGGATTGCCATCTCATGGACTATGACAATCTCCATTGGCAATATATTGGGTACACTCTGATCCCCCATCATGAATCAAACATCATTTACGAATCCTATCCCTATCAACAAAACTCATTGTCAAATCGTATCAACCAATCAAGCATGGTGTTGAAACCATATACTGCCAGTTGTACATATAATGGCCCCAATATATCTGAGTGAAATGGTGATATGCCCAATATGATCCATATACCCAGTCATGTTTGCGCTTGCTACAAGTACCCCTTTGAAGAAGTTAATGGCCCATCTAAGTAATCCCAACCATGATTTATTTAAATTAACTATATATATATATATGTACGTATATATATATATGTACGTATATATATATATAGTAATTAATATGTATGAGCCGATGGTAAGCATCGAAGTAACATTCTACTTAGTCCAAGGGTTCTAGTCCGGGCTCTGGTCAGTGGCCCACACTGACTAGACCCCAATAACTCAGAGTCTAAGGGGTTGACCCTTTAAAAACTAAGCTTCTAATTATTGGCTTATATATAGGGATGGGTCAAAACCTTGTACCCCGGTAGTTCACATCAAAATAGCTGAGATTCATGGATTCTGGATGTTCATGCCCCTAAAAGTGCTATTTGCAGGTATTGATCCATGGCCATATAGCCTGCATATAGCTTGCATATAGCTGTTGAGACCCCGCCGTTCCCTGTCCCGCCTCCCCTTCGGCCAGTAGAGACGCGGCACTCTTCCGCACCTCCGGGTTCCCATCCGAACAAAGGGCCTGACCCGGCCCGGGGAACCAGGGAACCACCGGCCGCGACGGTGGTGCGACGGGGTGATCCGGTGAGAAATCCAACTGACCTGGGCTAATGGTGTTATCCCCCCAATGATTCGGGGAATATCCAATGATTAATACCCAATATTGGGATAATTATCAATCATTGGGATAATATTATTCATTGAGATAATACCCAATAATTATCCCAGTGAGGTAATTATCCCAATGATTGGGAATATCCAATAATAATGGGATAATGAATATAATATTACTCAATCATGCTATAATTACCTCACTGGGATAATATTCGAATGATGTCACAGTGAGGTCATTATATCTTATCCGGAGTTTGCGCTTTTTTTGATGGCAAGTTGTGGCATATATTATATGTTTTGCACATCGTGGCAAATGAAGGAAATGATGATCTTATATGATCTTGAAACCAACAACTAGTGGGTAGACGTAAATTAGTGAGATGTGAAACACATATACGTACTGTACATGTGGGGTTGCTGGGGTTGCAATATTTCTACTATCTTTGGTCAAACCTCTTCCTTTGCTTCTCCCAGGCTGACACGGGCATTGGGCAGTCGCCGCTCCTTTTTTCTCGGAGATCAGCTCTTCACTGAAAAAGCCCGGTGTCGTCGTACCGTCGATGAGTGCCCCTGTCTTCTGCCCGAGCTCACGCTCAGTTGACACCAAATCGCCAATGAGACTCTGAGACTCCCTTCGCCATGCAGGCCAAATTCAGGTCCTTTTCCGGAATCCCACCGCTGGCCACCAACGGAGCCGTCCGTTGAGTCACCTTTGACGCTGAGGGCATCACGATTCAGCAGGGCATCCCGGTACGGCGTCAGATCAGCTGAGAGGCTGAGAATTTGTCGAAAGATGTTGGGGTACAAACAAGAACAATACTGGTTGGTGGTGGGTTTTAACCATCTTGAAAAATATGAAAGTCAATGGGAAGGATTATCCCATATAATATGGAAAAACAAGTTTGAAACCACCAGCCAGAATATGTACAATATAATTGTGGAGGTGTAACCAATCCTAGCTGAAATTTCACAGCTATGATGGCCTGTTTCATAGGGCTTGGGGAATGCAAATGGTCTTATCTCATGCATATTCATGCATGTATATACAGGTTAAAAATGGGCACCCAAGAGTTATACCCAAACTAAACAAGCTGTCTGTGGTTGCAGGATGTTCCAAATTCCGAAACCACATAGGTTTGTCCAAAACTGTTGGTATAGCCCAAAGTTGTGAAAAAATCTGCAGTGATGCCAACTAAACCTGGACCAAACAGATGACAAAAACCCAAAAAATGTTGGTTTATCCCCTTATTAACTCACCCGAAATCATCCCAGACATCCCATTGAATATGATGGAATCGTTGCCACCCTGCAAAACACTAAATTGGTGGTTGGTTAGTAGACATATTCCTATAGCAATTCCAGATTCACGGATAAATCCATCAAACAAATTGGTTGTTCCATACCCTAACTATTCTAAACCGTCATCAACCCATCATTACTAATACCCTTATTAAGCATCTAATATTGATTAATCGTTGTTGACATTAATTAATGGTTAACCATCACTAAATATCACCATTAATGGTTAATCATCAATATCACCCATCAATGGCTAATGGTTAATCATCAATAACTAATGGTTAACCATCACTAAATATTGATGATTAACCCAGTTTTCATTAACAAATGGTTAATCATCACTAACTAATGGCTAATGGTTCACCATCACTAATGGCTATCATTAACCCACCTTTTTCCTCACCATTTTACCATATTTTAACCATACAATAGATAGCGGCTCGATCGGCGCCTCCAAACTGGCGCCGGCTTCCAAGAGCCACTGGATGGCTTCCTTCACCCTGCGGCTGAAAAAAAAACCGTTCCGTTTCTATGATTACTGCTGGATGTATCTATAGTTGCAAATACTTAGATATTATAGTACTAAAGTTACAGATAGCTAGTTAGTTTGGTAGGTAGGTAGTTAGTTAGTTAGTTACTATATATAGTTAGTTACTATAGTTAGTTACTGGTGGATGTAACTATAGTTAAAGATGGTTAGTGATAATTATAGATCGCAGATAGTAATCTAACTAGTTACATCAACTAGCTATAGTAACTATAGTTACAAATAGTTACAAATAGTGATAGTAATCTGTATAATTATCAAGTTATTGTAACTATATGTAGTTACATGATATATATATATAAATATCATATAGTTATCCAATAATGATAGTTAACTATATGTATCAACTATTATGGCAGTGAATGATCGTTGGTGAATCTCATGAACTTAGATCTCACGGAACGCGAACGCGATCACGGTGCGGTGCGGTGCTTCTTTTTTTTCCGGTGGAATTCTGGTGGAGTCTATAAAAACCAACGATTAACCTATGAAAATATAAAGCCAATGGATTGATAACATATATTACCTCTTATAAAATCTATATTTTGAAATATTTCTTTCTGGTGACTACTGCTATATTCAACATGTTTTTTTGTGACAACATGTGTCATTGATCCTGGTTGAAATCTCTCTCCAAGCTTCTGATGACTCGTTTTATCACTGCTATGGTGGCGACTCGATGAGTCACAAATGACTTTGGTGAATTTAACATGTTGCAATCTTTTTTTGGGGTTACTATAGATGGACTTATGAACAAATAACCAATAACCAACTGATCCATAAAAGGTGGTACCCCAGTTCGTTAGCCAAGCTGGTGCAAAGACTTAATAGAAGAAACCGGCGTTTGTGGTAGAATATCCAACTAGAAAACTGGCTTTGTAAACCAACACTAAAATATATACAAGGCTGGGAAACTGGTTGAGGAAAAAAAGGCGATGACCAATTTCTCCCCTTTGCGGTAATTATGTGCATACAGCTAGGATCATACAACAGGTTGGAGCAACCTTGTCATGGGGATCCATCTATGTGCTTGGGTTCAGAGAATGGTTTATTTTGTTCCAAGTACCACGCTCTAAGAACCATCTTAAACTGCAAGTCAAATTGAAAAACACATCCAACATCTATTGTAGGTAGGTGTTGGTAATGCTGGGTCAACCAACCAAAACGAGTCGCAAAAAATGGGGATTGAAAAAAACACCACTAGTTGAATATGCATGGTTTCACAACTATTGATCCCAAACCATTTATCCAAACCATTATACCAAATCTGTGGTTTCCATCCCAATCATTGTACCAAATCGTGGTCCATGTTCAACCACAAACCTGCGACTTACTTGTTTGGTTTCTATTAATTTTAAGTACTCCCCAAAAATATGCAATTCTTGTATAATATTTCTTACAGTAAATGGGTCAAGAGATCATGGTTGATAGTTTATCCAGCAAAGACATCCGCAATCAAACTCTGTCATCCTCATTAAACCTTCTTCAACCATCACCATTACCCTCTGGTAAACGTTTACATAACTATGGGAAATCATAATTTTTAATGGATAAATCAACTATAAATGGTCATTTTCAATAGCTATGATAAATTACCAGAGGGTAGTACATCCCATTACTAATTGGTGGTATACCTACCCCCTGAAACATATGAGTTCGTCAGATTGGATCATCATCCCAACTATTGGGGAAAATAAAATTCAGGTTCCAAAATGTTCCAAACCACCACTTTGTACCGCTTTGTGTATCGCACTGTCTTGGGTTGGGAAGGCAGTGCATTGACTGTGGTGACTCTACGGTCAAGGCGGCCGCAAGGCCTGACTAACCGGACCTGGAAGAGAGAACTCTCCAATCCAGCAAACTTTGAAAAAGATCAACAGCGTAAACAACCAAGACTTGACACTGTGGCCAGCCCTGGCTGAAAAGGCGGTTGACACGAACCCCAAAACATGGTAGAAGGGCATCAGAGCAGCAATCATGCACACGGCACAACAAGACCCCATCATCATCATACCACTGTGAGAGCAAAGCAGCTCATGCCCACCCCAACATTCACCATCATATCTCGGGCGCTTCCGCAACAAGCCACGTATATGAGAAAACCGAATCTCAAACATCTGGATGCACTGGTTCTGAGTTCCACTTTGGCCGTGAAGTTGTGGATACTGAGCCTGCATCTGGGCCTGTAGCTTCGAAACTTGTTGAGGCGGATGGTGGGTGAACTCCAGAAACTGCCCGTCAATCTGTGTTTGTTTCTGCATCAACTGTTGCACCTGACCACAAGCAGAGAGTTCAAGGTTGATGTCCTCCTTCACAAATCCAGACACGTCCACAAACCTATCAAGGTGTTGTGAGATGAACGGATCTCTGCATGCAGGGACAACGCATTCAAGCACCAAAACATGAACACCCTGACACAGTACAGCTCTACGGAGTTTAGGAAGGGACATAGCACGAAGGGCTGCCTCTCCTTTACGATCACCCACTTGGGAAAACGGCGGACATGAAAATCCAGCACTCATCACCGCAGCATGATTGCACTTGGACCACACTCCAGCGATCACCTGGGTACTGCCAGCATCACCAATCACATACTCACATCCTCCATAAACCTTGTAGAAGTACATCATACGGGCATTTGAATCAACAGCAACCATGGTATGCATACCAACGGCAGAGGCTCCATGTGTCGGATCACCTAACCCGCAGTAAGCATCGACCAGTGTGAAGAAGTCCTCCCAGGTACACAGTGAGTGCAACAACACCTTAGTACCATCATCCACCCTCAGCAGCGGAAAGGAGAATTGCTGCACCAGGACAACATCCAACAGAGTGAGCACATCAGGAGCTCCATCCAAGAGGCCAGAAAGCACCAAACCAGTCCCAACGCGGACAGAACGACCCAAGTGGCACCCACGTGCAGGATCAAAGACCACCACCATGACCACGGCAGAAAGCCCACCTCCAGCGTCAACTCCGGCAGGGTCCATGAAGGTCCATGGCACAACACGGTGAACGGAACGCTCTACGATCAGCAGGGCACGGCCGCACCTGCTGGTAGGTGTAGAGCCCACGGCTGTTCCAAACCACCAACCAGACACATTTGAACTACTGACCTACTCCAATATCTAAAGATGACACAATTCACCAGCTATGGAAAATCACCATTGTTAATGGGTAAATCAACTATTTCTATGGAAAATCACCATTGTTAATGGGAAAATCAACTATTTCTATGGAAAATCACCATTGTTAATGGATAAATCAACTATTTCTATGGAAAATCACCATTGTTAATGGGAAAATCAACTATTTCTATGGAAAATCACCATTGTTTATGGGTAAATCAACTATTTCTATGGAAAATCGCCATGTTATTAAAATTCACCGGAATTTTGATGCTTAAAACGTCTCTCCTTCGTCCCCCATCGTCGCCGCAAAGATTCACAGGGATTCGGCCTCTGCTTCTGCGTGGGTCTGGGCTTCGTCGCCACCTTCTCACGCAGCAAGCGATCCAGTTCAGCCTGACGCGCTGGCGATTGGACCGACATCCTAAGGGAAGAATCAAAACATGTGATATATGGAGATAGTATGAGAAAGTGCGAATCAAATCTATTCAAATCTTAGCTACCCTAGATACCGTGGTGATCTATCAATGTGGAAAGTTTCAGGTACCAAAACTGGGTTGCTGGACCATATAAAGCCATAGTTTGTAGGTATAGCCTTTTACATAGCCCATTGAATATGAATATATATATATATAGTGGGAATGAAATCTTAGATCATTGCTATTGTTTTTTCTTGACTCGTAAAACAAAATAACAGGATGCAAGACATGACTGGTGATGCTTGGTTGAGTACATTGAGCCCTGAGATGGACATTTCACAGAATTTCTTCATCACAAAAACCCTGGTTCCCGGATGGTACCCTAAATTAGCTGGTCAATGAATGGTTATTCCTCCAATGGTAATCACCGGAAACAGTGCTGTGGCGATTTATGCAACTCACATTACATCAGGATCCCATGGTTAACTAACCAACCCAAATTGGGATTTGGGTATGAGTCAACACCCTGGTCATCCCTCCAATATGGTCATGTGGTAAACAACAATAAAAACACAAAAAACACCAAAAAAAATCGTAGGCATTTTATCGGATTCATTGGCTTTACCAAATTAATAAGAGGTTTTGACACATCCCCATGTGACCCACCCCCATTTGGAAATGGGTACCCGGTACCCATCATCCAAGTCCTCGGACCAGACCATGACTTCGTATTAAAACCCTATGGTGACGACTGGGGATTCCTCATGGTTATTATGCCCCATGAGTTGGGATATATCCCCCTATAACTATGGTCTTATGGGCAAATATAGCAATTCACTAATCTGAAATAAAACTATATTGGGATAATTCAAAAAAAACTAAGCATAATAATTTGCCCAGATATATCCATATAATATTACCATATATGGTTATTTATTATTCAGCCCCATAAGTTGGAATGATATACCCCTATAAATATGGCTATATATATATAACTATGGCTATGTCTATATATATAGATATCCAACAAGACTTATATCAAATTATACAAGTATTGATTTAAGTATATCACTATGGCTATCTACTATACATAACTATGGCTAGTATATTATATCAACTAGGAATAATTGATATATTATATATATATGGCTATAATGGTATTATATGGTTGTATTTGATATATATATATATATAATTAGTGGATATGATATGGCTATTTAATTATATAACTAGGTATGATATATCAACTTGGTACAATATACTTAGCCATAGTTATATACTGATATCCATAATGTTATATATATATAACTATGGCCCTGGCTTTTTTCAAGCCCTTAACTGGGCCTTTAGAACGACTCCCATATATATACTTATATCATATACAACCATATAATACCATTTTAGCCACTTATATATATATATATCAATTATTCCTAGTTAATGTATGTATATATATATATATATTAAATTACATAGGCATAGTTATGTAACGTAGATAGCTATGATATACCCTCTGGTTATTTAACATAGCCATGGTATAGATGGCCCATAGAAATAGATGGTTTACCGAACTTAAAAATGGGTGGATTTTCCAGTAGTTTTTTGTATGTTTTCCAGAGGGTATATAAAACAATATATATATACATATATATATATATATTAGCCATAGTTATGTATAGTAGATAGCTATAATATATCCGCTTATATCAAGCAATAAATCCCTGGATTCCATCAGCACCTGGTCCAACTGTACGGCTCGGACCGATTCTTGCCACATCTCCGAGTGAGGTCTGCGCCGCTGCACCAACCACACCCATGGGGACAGCGATGGATGAATGGTGGGACTTGTTGAATTCACATGTATGTATATATATATGTAAAGTATTTATATATATATACATGTATTTATATATATATATGTATGTATATGTATATGTATATGTAAATGTATATGTATATGTATATGTATATATGTGTATATGTGTATATGTATATATGTATATATGTATATATGTATATATGTATATATGTATGTATGTATGTACGTATGTATTTATGTATGTATGTATGTATGTATGTATGTATGTATGTATACATTATGTATATCATAATGTATATATCATGTATATCATGTATATCATGTATATCTTGATACATATTGAATGATGAAGAGTGGTGAAATATGCAGAATGGATCAGAATGGATCAGAATCCCATGTTACTAGCTGATAGATTTATTGAACATCACCCATCAACACCCTTCTTTTTCCGGCCAAGCAACACAAACTGATTGACATTTAACCAAAAATCATAAAAATCCCTAGCGGAAATGGCCCTTAAACAAAATACCCTCTGGTAAACTAACATCACTATGGAAAATCACCATTTTTAATGGGTAAATCTGCTATAAATCACCATTTTCAATGGCTTTTTGTATGTTTGCCAGAGGGTGTGGATCCGCCAACATGGCAATGATTATCCCATGGGGATTCTTGGCATTGGAGAAACTCACTGGACATTCTATGCTGGGCTAAAAAAAAACTCTCCGGTTGAACCCGGTGGATTCTATCCTGAACATTCTTAGATACGGTGCAAACCACTATTTCTCTGAGTTTCTTCCGGAAAAAATGACTTCGGAACTCTCCGAAATCAGGTTGATCCGTGTAGATCCCTATTTCCAGGGTCATATCCACCAGATCGTCAACGGCCGAGCCAACTTGTTGGCCCGCCTCAAGGCATAGACCACATGCATCTGGGATTCCTGACGAGTTCCAGTTGGCCTCTGGGGTATGGTGTAACGGGTTACAATCCGACGACCGGATCAACGGTCCTCAACAGTAAAACCCACGAACAAAAAAGGTACAGTAACATCAGTAACATGCGTTTCTATCTTTTTGAAGGTAACAACAAAGTGCATGATACATCAATATTTGAATCATTATATCAATGGCAATTTCAGGATCCTATGGAGGTACTGCACCATATAAGGCCATATTTTGTGGGGATATTCCCTTACATAGGCCTTTTATAGAAACATAGGCCTTATATATGGTAGGTACCTCCAATCAATCGGTTCCTGAGTCATGGCCATTGATCAAAAACTGCCAAGTGCCATTCCAATTGGGGACGGTCGAAAGCAACAAACATCGGCCAATCAGTTCTGGATCAGTTTTGGTGGTGACACATCCCCAGTGTGTTCAGATGTTTCTTCTATCCAAATCATTGGTGGAATTATACCCCACTGGGACAGGTTGCAGCACTCATTGAACTATACCGGAAATAAAAACATGGTGGACAACAACCATCATTGTCAGTGTCTTTGCGATCGAAGGGAATATTTCCCTTCTATGTAAGTCTATTTGAAACATAGAGTATACATCCGACATCCCATTATTATTGTTGGTGAAACACACCCCGGATCAATAAACCATAGTTTGATAATAGTAAGGTCCACAGAAGAGCGGTCATAGTGATAGATGGTGCCACCTCATTTGAATAGACTCGGGCTGTTAATTCGGGGATTACATTTGAACATGTGCAAAAACTGCTTGGGTCATCCCCAGCAATACTGATGGCTTGGGGTCATCGGACATGTTCGGCCGGTCTAGTCTAGAGTATCAATTTCTGAGAGCCCGAGAAAGAAAAAACAATTGGATTGGGGGATTCATATTCCGAGAAAAATACTATGTATATATATATATATATACATATTACAAATAGATATATAATAATATATATATATATATATATTATAGAGATATGACATGTATATACTGTATGTATATACTGTATGTGTATCTGCAATGGTCAACAATTCAACAAATGGTATTTCTTGTGTACAGTACGTATGGCCATCCATCCAATAATAATGGAAATCCCTATGAACGGATGATGATTCTCCCGAATCACCCAAGAACTGTGCAATTTACTCACGTTTTGACGGCCCCAGCAGCTTGGAGGGTTTCATAACGCCTCGTTCATATCAAACGTTTCCGACAAACCACATGGTTTAGTCGGGAGATGTCGGGAGATTTACACATCTTTGGGGAGGATTTGCCATAATTACTAAAGTGACTAAAGTCACTAAAGTCGCCGTTGATATGGCGAACCCCTTCATATATTCATAGTACCCTTTTCTTGAGTCTTCTTGAGTTTGGGTGGCTGGCAAAAAATAACGATAATCCCAGAATGATGTGTCTAAAAATGGGGTACACATGGGTACACCGTGTACCTCCAGTGATGGCCAATGTAATACAAAGATGAGAATCAACCAATGGATCTTGGGATAGCGCATTTTCAGGCAATGCCAGGTGATGTTCATGCGGAATCATCGGATTTGAATGGACTTTAGATTTTTTTCCAAATCTACCCACACCAAGATCATCTTGTAGCTTAAAACAATCCATAAGAGTCCTGTAGTCCTGTCTCCCAATTTTTCAACGCGCATCTCAAAAGATAGAGTCCCAACACGGCTGGATGAATACCGACTGCTGATCCCTAAAAAAACATGTGTCAATTCTTGGGAGAACTCTCGTCCATTGACGTCCGTCATGTCATCGGAGGAGGACTTGAAATCCATCACTGGTTGGTGGTTGACCTACTCCTCTGAAAAATGATGGGGTGAAAGTCAGTTGGGGTTATGACATTGCCAATATGTGGAAAGTCATAATCCAGTCATGTTCCAAACCACCAACCAGAGATGGTTTAACATTCACAAGTCACATTGATCATAATTTGTGTTTCCATATACCACAGTTTTTACTCTCACTCGCACAATCATATCATGAAGTCATGACGATGGACAGGAGAATCCTGAAAGGATTTGCAATGGAGAACCCGATTCGGGGGGGATAACCATCCCCAAACGGACATGGGAAAACGGACAGTTGATGTTTCGATCATGGCCGTGGCACATATACTGCTACCTTACATGTTCATCATCTTCATTTTTCTATATTTGTCTGATGAGTTCATATAATCTTGGTGAAATATCCCCAGCAAAACTGAGAAACTCACTGGGCACCAATCCCACTGATGCCACTGGGCATTTCAAAACGCTCCTCCAATGCAGCCAACAACGACGCTCGCTTCGTCGCCTTTGTTGGTGTTTGGGGCCCTCAGATGGAAGTACCACCACCGGGGCCCCTCAAGCTAGGGGGATGTACCCATCAAAAACAAGGATTGATATTGAATTTATGAAAGGTAAGTTTGCTTCAGAATAACTAAGAATTGGGCCCTGGAAATATCTACAGTCGAATACGTTGCAACAAGACATGTGCCAGGCTATTCAAAAATATATTTCTATCGATTCGTTCGAGGTCACTTAAGCTACGACATGGTTGATAACCCCAACATTGTCACTTTGAGCTGCAGGTCGATACTGGAAAAACATAAATCTAGAGACATTAATAAAGTAACCAGGTAACCATCAAAATATAATAGGATTGTCTGAAAATTATTGAAACTGCGGAATACTCCCAGTTAGAGCCTTTTGAACAGGTATAATTCAGTGGAACAAGTGGTTTCACAGTAGGGGGTGTTCCCTTAATTCTTTAGACCCAAAGAGGATAGAAGCAAGCGACAAAAGTGGGATTGCATCTGCAAGACGTGGGACAGAAGCAACACAACAGTAATCGTAACATATCAAATATGTACAATGTTATGAAGGCGCATGATTTGGTGTACCAGCCCCATGTTTTCATTTTGATGGATTTGATTGTTCAACACAATCAAAATCTTAATCCCACACGTGTGGGACTGTGGGTGTGCGGCGAACTGCTGGTGGCACCTTTTGATCATCTTCCTCAGCCTAACGATGGACGGGACCTGGGGCAGAAGGGCCTGGGGCAGAAGGCTGTCACTCGCCTGGACAGAAATGCTGCCCTGATGGTGATAGCCGTTGTGCCACTGGATTGCAACATGCAATCTTGCTCCAGTTTGGACCAAACCGACTCCCAATCTGTCATGTGAGAGGGCAAAGGGAAGTGCTTGTCAAAGACCGGATGGATCAAGCAAGTCTGGATTTGGCAGGTATCTGGGTTGACCCAGCCCTCCAACATCAAATTATAATAGGATTGTCTGAAAATGATGGAAAATGCGGAATACTCCCAGGTATAGCCTTTTGAACGGGTATAATTCTGTGGAACAGGGATAATTCAGTGGAAGAAGTGGTTTCACAGTAGGGGGTGTTCCCTTAATTCTTTAGACCCAAAGAGGATAGAAGCAAGCGACAAAAGTGGGATTGCATCTGCAAGACGTGGGACAGAAGCAACACAACAGTAACACATCATTTTCTTTACGAAATCAACCTGGAACATGCTGGAACCCAAATTATATAACCCTCAAAACTGATGGGTCTAAAGCCTCCAAAAATGATGTGTCTAAAGCCTTAAATCCAAGGCAATTTTTGTGCGTGATGTTCCAAGTAGGATCCCAACTTAATCAGGTGAAACTGCCATATTTCTTGTTTTTTTTTAAACATCTCCGGCATGAAAAAAAATGTGTTTTTTTTGCTGTTTTTAGCTACCCATCCGAAAGTCAACAACGATGTCAACTGAGAGGATCATCCTTTGCTTGGATGAGAAATACAAATATGAAAATAAAACACACCTAATTGGTGGTTGACCTACCCCCCTGAAAAATATTAGTCAGATTGGATCATCATCCCAACTATTGGGGAGAATAAAATTCATGTTCCAAACCACCAACCAAACACATTTGAACTACTGACCTACTCCAGGGATATCCAAAGATGGCTTACAAAAAATTGGGATACCAAGGACCCCACGGATGGTTTCCTAGGCAAAAGATCCACGCTGACCTCCCCATCCTGCTGGGCTCTGCGAACTGGAGACCATTTCGTGCTCCAACCACTGGGTGGAAGCCTCGGTTCCGGATGAAATTCGGGTGTTTCAGCAATGAACATCTTTGGATTTACCTCATTTGGAACTGTGCTTAGGGATGTAACGTATTTTCCAGTTTTAAGCGGAATTGGCCATGGTCATGGGGGATATACCCCAATTCTTCCTCAATTTATGTTGCCCGGGTCGTACCGACAAATAACTCCCAGTGCACCTCCAAATATAATCTGAGCACACATTAGATTTGTTTGCCAGACTTTGCACAAAAGTTGGTACGGAACCAGTGTCAACCAGCAACCATGGGAATTCTACCCTGGATTTTGCGTGAAATCAACCCACCTGGATCCGTAAAAGGTGTGCTTCAAGAAAGGATATCTTGTAATCATTGCTCTGTCCTATCCATGAATCCCATCTAACAGAAAAAAATAAAAGCACCCATTTCAGGCGGTTTAAGATCCCATGTTTGCTAGTTAAATCCCATCAATCACCTTTATTGCTACTGAACAGTTTTTTTCTTCTGATTAAATCCCCATTGCATGGGACGTTCCCCAGCCAGCACTAAACTCGGGCTGAAAAACTCACCGCGTCGACAGCAGGAGACCGCCAAGGGATCGGGTGCCTTGGAACATGTCCAATCGAAAGATCGAATATTCTTAATATCCATATATACCATCTGGTTATTTAACATAGCCATGGTATAGATAGCCCATTTATAGATGGTTTACCGAACTTAAAAATGGTGGATCTTTCCATGGCTATGTTAAATAACCAGAGGGTAATGTATACAGGATTATATAGGTATGTTATGTAATGGAATCCAATCCAATCCAATCCAATCCAATCCAATCCAATCCAATCCAATCCAATGCAATGAATGTAGGAGGTAGGGATGGATGGACGTAGGTATGTATCTCGGTATGTAGGATTATATAGTAGGTATACGGTATACAGGCATAATGTATATAGATAATTATAGATATATCATGATACATAGGTATTGGCTCTGTTGTGTACGCGAACGCCTTAAGTATATCTGGTGGTTTCACTGCATGATCTTCAAGTTCATGGACGAAAAACACAAAAAACACATTATGGTAAAGTTAAATGTCAACATAATTTACATATTATATATATATCAAATCTGAAATGATATTGAAATGATCTTGAATCATATCAGTTCATCCATCGCGAAAAAAAACTCTCAGGATCTCTGGGATCCAGGCTGTAGGATCTGGTGTGGCACCTACAGAGTGCAGAAAACCTTTAAATGGGAAATCCATATGGGAAATGGAGCTTTAGTTGGTGGAAACCCATGGGAAATGGAGCTTTAGTATGGTTTAGTATGGTTTCGTTGGGAAGAATCCATCGAACTGCTGGATGTTCCATAGAGCTGATGACACAACGGAGGCGATTTTTTTCATGACGCCCGCTGATCAGATTACCCTCTGGTAAACTAACATAACTATGGAAAATCACCATTTTCAATGGGAAAATCCACTATAAATGGTCATTTTCAATAGCTATGTTAAATTACCAGAGGGTATCTTACTATACCCCATATTGCAGTTGTTCTATCCCAGGATTGATCTATTTGTCTCTGTGAAAGTGAATATGGAGTAGATAGAATAGAATCCTCGAGCATTTTATCCTGCAATTTAACACCATGAAAAATGAAACCATGTCAGATAGACTTGGAAACTATTGATACGTTATAATACTATTATAATCAACTCTTGATTCTTGTAGAATCTCCCTACACGTGGAGTAGAGGGATGACAGCATTAATTAACAGTCATCCTGGAGTAGATATGACAGAATATGGCAATTTCAATATGAAATCGCTAGAACTGGAACATGTTTGACACATATGAAGCCACACACACATATTGCCTTGCAATCCAGGAAGGAAACCACACCATATTATGAAGCCACATGTTAGCAGTTGGCAGGACTTCAAGCCAATTTTTTGGGCATGTATTCAGAACACTCCCTCTGCTCAAAAAATGCCCGCAAGTGCAGAACACTGGCAAACTGAAGCAGACTGTCTAGATTACGAATGGGAATGAAGATTAAGCATTTCTGCCAAGTATTTTTGGTATAACCCATTTATAGCAGCATATTTGATGAAAGGATACAGAAATTGCTATAATACTATACTCAAGCAATGATTACTTGGAAGTGCGGGCTTTCGTGGTGCGGTTTGGGAATAAAATGTGGGTTTTCTACAACAATCTGGGGTTATCAGCATCAGCCAACTCCCTTGGATTCTACGAAAGAACCAGGTGGAAATCAACACTGGGTGCTTTCACAATATTTACAAGCCTCTCTCAAATGCAGTTTGGACTGTATTGTTAACTTACACATCTCGAGCTCAGCTTTCAAAGACATTATGGTGGGTTCAAAAAGGGATCCATTCTTATGTTCACCGTCGGTAGGCTCTTTTAGTATTTGAATGTGTATCTGTATAAGTGGGTAAAGTAACGCGCTTTACCAAGCTTGGATTCTCTCCATCTCTCTCCCCCTCACTGCAAACTCGTCTGGTTGGTTGCTGACACCCACTGTCAGGGGCATTCCAGTAGCCCCCGCGGCCTGCAGTGGATTTGGGTTTTTCGTAGACCTGCCAATGATCCAATGCAAAAGTGCAGGAAAACAGCAAACACGGAATAAATACTACACATACAATGCAAGGATGGCTGTTGGATGGTTGTTAAAACACGTTAAAACTCAGATTGTCAGATTGGACCACACCATTTTCAGAACATGCCGCAACGTGTCGCGGCGCCAATTCAGAAGCGTTTGTCGGATGCGTAAGGAGATTTGGCACCAACATCATTTCAGGATCATTTCAGGTCTAAATCCAGCTCAATTTGTTTTGTTCTGTATTCAAAAAACAAGTTCACCATACAAATTGATGATCTGTACACCCAACACTATTCTATATATAATTGTCAAGTCACCGTGAAACAAAATTACATCATATTGGTACTTGGTTGAGCCCCTCGAAATAATTAACTTGTAGTTGGATAAATGGTAAACCCATCTAGTCCGAAAAAGGCATAACATAGAAGTACATGGCCACAAGCCACAGCCTCATAGCATCTCCGTCAATGGGCTGAGATACGCAAACTACTGTATGTTAACAACTTAAATTCAATTGACATACAGTATATGGGTTTGTCCACAAAGCGGATACACAAATATGCGATATTTGTCGATATGTATTATACTTGTAGAATCAGATTCTCCATTTTGTAAAGGCCATATCCTCCAGTTTCCAGGTTTCACCCGCGATCGGACCCACCTCGGTGTAGGCCTTGGCTGGACAATGCTGCTATGTTTACCATGAGTTCGGCATGGGGGTGCGCTTATGGAAGTCTTCCACTCCAACAAGGCCAAGCCCAAGAAGGCCTGATACGATGTGAATTTGGACTGTTGTCCATGGCATTCCAATCGCCACGTGCTCGATCCACGACACCAAGTAGTGTCGATCTCTCCTGGATCGTCAAGGTCAGATGAGGCCGTGTTAGCTCCTGAAATTCTGTGACCTTTTAATACCTTTTGTATCTATATCCATAAATATAGATGTATGTATCGGCCCCACCTCATATCCCATCATATCCGTACCTATACTGTGTATATATATATACATACAATTAATCAATTATATATATACTACAGTGTATATGTGTATATATATATATGTATATATATATATATATATGTATATATATATATATATGTATATATATATTACATATGATATGTATGTTCTGGATATTCACTACCTCACAGTATCTATCTGCAGTACATGTCTGTACGTGTGAGTGTCTCTCAAAATCCTGGATACCACACAATGGCAATTGCAAGAAATGATGAAAAACCAGCCGACTTGGGTGTCCTATTTTCAAACAAATCGAGGTTATGTTTTCATAGTTAAACATCGTTTCTAGATACGCTTAGGAATGGCAATGCCAGATTTTCCCCAAACAGTGTGTCCACACTGCGGGGCTCTTACCGTAAGAGTAAAAGGCCGGCGCTTGATCAGGGTGCTCCATCTGGGCTGCGCCATTTTTCCTGCAAATTTCAGCATAAAATGACCCTTGTGAACTGTCCAAGTGCATTTTGACCGTGCAGGCTCGCACAAAGTGTGGGTCCCGGTCTTGGGATCGGTACCCCATCTCAACATCATCATCTCCACCTCATCTTCCGCAACATCAACATTATCATCCTTTTCATCATCTTCCTGACCATTACCATCCTCAACATCCTCATCAACCTCCTTATCAACATCATTGATCCTCCACCTTATTAATCCTTATTATCCTCAACTTCATCCTGCGCATTATCATCCTCATCCTCATCCTGCTCAACATCCTCCTCCTCAACATCATCATACTCAACATCATCCTCCTGCACCATATCATCCTCAGCATCATCATCCTCAACATCATCGTCCGCAACATTATCATCCTCATCCTCATCATCCTCATCCTCCTCATCATCCTCATCATCCTCATCATCATCATCATAATCATCATAATCATAAATATAAACATTATCATAAACATTATCATACCTTATCCTCCCACTCCCCCACACTGTTTGTGGTCTCTTGCTGGGTTTTGTTTTTTTTACTCTCTGGCATTATTGAATCTGGAGTCCCTACAACAGAAATCGGATGGGGGGCGGTAGCTACGTCCAGGTGATGAAAAATAATCCCCACCCTCCCTGAATGGTTTGAGGCAAATCCGCACGTTCTCTTCTCTTATCATCACAGATGTGTTCAATCTGTTCACATTTTCATGGTCGTTTCATTTAAATGTCTGCAGTGTGTTCAGTCAAATCACTGCAGAGGTCCCCCATCAAGGTAGAAACGCATCTAATCATCAAAATGCTGAGGATAAGTTGTTCCATCAGTACGACCCCAACATGTCAACATGTCAAATCCTACGGTCAGATCGTTCGGTCATAAGTCCCGATGTCCAACGGAATCATCGGCAAGTGTCTGGGGAGATCTCATATTACCATGTACATCAGGCGAGACTATTAAATGGCAAACTACGAAACTAATAGATCATAATTCACAAAGCAAACTACGATAATCATCTATAACCAACATTAATCTACTGTAATTTACTATAATTCACACACCTGAAACTAGTTGTAAGCCATCTTTGCGATAATTCCACTAGTTGACACACAACAATCGGCCAGTGAACTCACGAAAAGTAGCCAACCCGGTGCATGAACGATTTGTCCAAAAATGTGGATATCCCAAAATATACCGTTAATCAATGTTTAATCATCATTGTATGGTTGATTTTGTTGGTCATTTGATGATATTTGCTTAACGATAGTCATGTTATATCCTTGTTGCAGCCCTGAATTTCAGATGTGCAAAAAACATATTTGGAAAATCATTTTACTATCATTGGATAACGCATTTGTTGGCTTCCATGTTGAATTCAGTGAATGTATCTCATATGTGCCATGGTCAAAACATTATATGGTTTATGCTCATCCTTCCATGGTAATCCTTATAGTGTTTCCCTATGAAAGTGGATTGATGTCCATCCCCAATATAGCTATATCATGGTGTTTCATCCAATATCTGATTCTAGTTGGTTATATATCCCGTTAAATCCTATGATTATTCCATTCAATCTCCATGATATAATGGTTAAATCGATCTTTTAACCTCTGGTAGTCAAACCTGGCTGGAAAATCCCCGAAGTAGCCATGGAGTTTTTGTGAAAAATCAACATCATCGATGTAAATGGGGGATTGCCCAGCCACAAAGAAAAGAGTCAATCAATTAGTATACCAGATATATCGAATGGTTATTGTCCATTGATATAATATATATAATATATATATATACTGGTTGGTGGTTTCAACCCCTCTGAAAAATATGAAAGTCAGTTGGGATGACTATTCCCAATATATGGGAAAATAAAAGCCATGTTCCAAACCACCAACCAGTATATATATATATTGATTGATTGACCAGCCAGCCACGTTTGATACCATTGATTGAAGGTATATCGAACTGTCGAATGGTCAATCCTTCACCCCTGGGACGCCCGACAATCCCCGAGGCTCCGGGGGGTCGTGGCGCGGGGCCGATCTTTCGTGATGCCGACGCCTCAACGGAAAGATGTAAAGTGAGTCTATCAATCTACCAGTTAAAAAAAACAACAACATGTATATCCGGAGTATCTCTAAACCATCTAATGTTATCTCTAGCTATCTAGTTTTATGTGGGTTCTCATATCTATTCATATCTTAGTTGTGTATTTAGCAAGCTATAGATATTAGATAGGTTATAACTAGATATGTTATAGATAGGTTATAAATAGTATGAGTTATCTATACTATAGTCATGTATATTAGATATCTTATACATCTATAGTTCTCTACCTATCGAATAGATCCATCCTGTCTTCCTGCCTGGCTCACGACCATCCCCCGGCTGTGCCTTGGCGCAAGAACATGGAAAAGAAACAAGGGGAACATGGGGAATAAACAAGGAGAACTACCTTGTGAAACTGCTTGGTGGTTGAGCCCTACCCCTCTGAAAAATGATGGATTGAAAGTCAGTTGGGATGATGACATTCCCAACTGAATGGAAAGTCATACAAGCCATGTTCCAAACCACCAACCAGGAAATATTCTGAACAGAAATCAAATTTCATGTGTTTTCATATCTTCATCATGATGCAAGCAGTTGACCTTCGACGATCCAAAATAGCAAGTAGATGTTTCAAAAGCACATTCCTTTGCCTGTAGGTACCAAATTCAAGAGGTCTCCCCACGGGAAAAGAAAAGAACAAACTGAATCTATCTGGCTGAAGTGAACTGCTGAAAACCAATTTGAAGTCTTTGGTGATCAAAGCAATGAGGCGGTTCTGCTGCACCCAGATTCCATATTTTGCCAGCTTCGTGAGCACTGATGAAAGCTATGGAATACCATGCAGGTATTTTTTTAGCCAAAGCGATTGGGCCACATCCCTTGTGATGCCCAGATTGAGCCCACTACCCGTTTGACTAAAGAAGTTCTTTCAAAAGCTGGGTTGAAGTCTCACATAGATGCGGAACAACATTTGAATTTATACGATTTTTCTATATGTAGAAAAACTGATAAAATCCAATCACTGCAAGGAAACCTGACAGACAGACTCGATGGCTTCGCAGCTGCCAAGCTACACTTTGGAGGCTGCCGGGCTGGGGCCGACCTTCGCTGCCATGACTGGTCCATGTGTTTTTTGGATCTGGACATATCTGGACTCCGAAAAATGGGATGGTTACCCACTGGTGATTGGAAAACACATATCTGGTTGGTGGTTGTTATCCCATATATTATCCCATATAAACAAATATAGTCTGGTGATTGAAACCACCCAATTAGCTAAATCATCTATCAAGGGGCCAATTTCCATAGCGATGTTAATTTGCCGCTGTGGTCCCATAGATCGAAAAAAAAACCTTGGGGATGTTCTCTTCAATTTCGGGAGATGTTCCCTTCACAAAATGGGAGAAGGTTGATGGTTGTAAGCCCAAATCCAACATAAATCAACGTGGAGAGTTTGATTCCAAGTCCTTTTGACTCTTCGTTCCTGCTTTCTCTTTATACAACTAAGTTGTTTCACAGTATATATATATATATGTATGTATGTATGTATGTATGTATGTGTATATATATATATCATTGTGTATACTAATTATGAATATTTCACAGTATTTACTATCATATGCTAAGACTACGTATATCTATGTATGCACGCTCTATATTAGCAGATCTAGTGAAACAAGTAGGGATGGATCTCGACTAGTGACGGCAGCATCTGAGCAGTAGCTACTAAACCCGAACACTGTGGGTTAAGAACGGATTGCCCCAACTCATGGATGATGATAATCTGATAGTCCCCAACTACGATAGGATTGGATAGTATGACCTCCATGCAATCATCAATCCACAAATATCAATCACAACACCATATTGTTTGATGGTTAAGACCCAAAAAAATAATGGTTAAACCATGATTAAACAGCAACTCGACCACCAGGGCATGGAAAAACCTGAGGGTCTCCCACCTCATCTGGAGGCCTCAGTATGCAGAGACGACACTGCTTAATTCCTTTCCTCACCAGGTTAACAATCACATACGCGAGGTTAAGATGATTTCACCAACATTTTTTTTCGGATATCTAGCCACTATATCACTATGATATGATATTAAATACCACTTGAATCCCTGGTTTGGCATTGGGAAAATTATTCGTTTGGGGGCCTTTTTTTGGTGGGCTAGTTCCGGGTAGTTCATATCAGGGGGGAAAGAAAACCCGGTGACTTCTTGCTAACAAACATGCCGGTTGTCTAAAAATGATCTGCTTGGTGGTTTTTCGCCCTACCCCTCTGAAAAATGATGGATTGAAAGTCAGTTGGGATGATGACATTCCCAACTGAATGGACAAATAATCCAGCCATGTTCCAAAGCACATCAAACCACCAACCAGATGATTCACGGACGACCAACGTGTCAGGCTTAAACATTCGGAAACGCTGGGATTCAACAACGGGATTTCTCCGTGGGATTCTCCAGCTTGAAACTTGGAGAGATAACCAAGAGAGATAACCAATAGAACCAGGGCTTTCTTTCAATGTGACACATAGCAAGCATGGAATTATTTTCCCACACGGAGGTCACCAACCAAGATGGAAAAAAATGGCAAATCATGGTCCTACGGGTCCTACGCAACATCGGGATAGGGATAGAACATCATGGGGAATGAACCGACGCTTGTGGAGAAGTACGCAAGAGTCTTAAGTGTGTTGAACAGAGAACTTTCAATTTGTACAAGAACACACAGGTGAGCTGACTTTTGGTCAGCAAAATCCAACTTCTGACCCAGACTTTTGGTTACAGAGCTCACCATTAACCCATGAAAAATATGACCATGTTCAACCTTGGGGAAATACCAACCGAATAAGCCATGATTCAAAACTGTCCAAGCACTGCCTTCTTCATTAAACCATGCTTGCTTCGTGGAATACATTTCTAAGTGTCCAGCTTTCAAAGACTCCAAGCTCTAGCGGTTCGTGTTTACTGAGGCCCAAAAGTGGTGTGCCGCAGCTACTTTTTCACTGGAAGACTTGCAACTCTGTGTTTGGCAAGGGCGAGCCAGGGTGTGCCATGGTCAAAACATGTGAAACGACAAGGCTGGTGAACCACCTTCAGGAATTCCCCCAAGTTGGATTACAACCCCTATGTATATATACATATTCATGATATATCTACCACATTATATCTACAAGTACCACTAAGCCTAGCTAACCTATAGCTAACCTATACTGTGCCACACTTATAAACCAACTTAGCCAAGTAAAAACCAACGGTTTCGACATGTTTCGACCATGGCACAAGTAATTTGCTTGAAATCCATCCACCTACGATCGCCCTCCAATCTCCCTTGGGTGCGAAAAAAAGTTTCCGTCTGTGGGCATGACTGAAAATATGGTATACCTGAAAATTGCTATTTTCATGGGAACATGATGATAGACCAGTGGAATCCAGTGGATAGAATTAAATGGGCGGCCTATTTTCAAACGAACGTGCATTCTTCTTGTACGATGGGATGGTTACCAACATTTACCCCGAGAATGGCTCAAATGTAGCGGTTATACAGTACATTCAGATTGAGTTTTGCCTCACAAAAGCCCTAATTTGGCTGTGTTTGGCTGTATCTGGGCATATGCATTTGATGGTAGACTGATCGATGGATTTCTACCAGTCCTCACGGACGGGTACCTGGAATTCACTACCAGGACAGCATCTTCAGCAAAACTTGCAGTGAATCTTCTATGCGCTTTGGCAATCTCATGTTGGATTGTCATTCTAATTCTAGTTTTCGAAGAGCCGCGTCGGCACGCAGACAATATTCCAATCTCCATTGCAGTCTTTGGAGTAGTACAAAGTACTGTATGGGCAAAATCTATGTAATGTCTCAACAATGGTTCTCGGATGCATTTGTTTTGGATGTTTTGGTTGGAAGACTACAGCACACATCAATTTCTTACGATAGGAACTTCAACCCATAAAACCCACAACATGACCATCCACATACATCCACAGAAATTCAGAGCATTCTTGGTATATTAACTTTAAGGTCCAATTTCAGGAGTGTAATGTTTTGACGGCCGGCAAACTTGAGGAAACTAATCACCAAACCTGGGTCCCTGCTCAACCATATAATTGGATTCAAGGCTGCAGTGGTGTCTACTTGTTCATATTAGACATCAGATGCACATCTCAAAAAACTGGAATTTTAACCAACATGCATACCACTTGTTTGTTGATTCCCTAGCTACTGATGTTTGGTGGAGCATCGAAGCCACCTCCACCAGCCGATATCGTCTTCATCGCAGGACTCGTTTAGGAATAGGGACCCAAGGTCCTTCGGCCACAGACACACCTTCTTAGAGGATCAATTTGTTGGTCCCGGTGTTTCCTTAGCTATCAATGGGGCATGTAATATCATATAATGGCACATGGTATGATAGAAATCTCGAAAAATCAGAACTTCAGAACCATGGAATCAATATAAACATGCAGCTTTCCATCCCAAACAACAGCTGGGTTGGCTAGTGAAATTGGAGTAAATTGCCATGGATCGGGAGCCGATCACCAGACAAGCCCAAATGTCATATGCTTGGCTTAATGTCCTTATTATAATCTCAGTACAATGTGGGGCACCACCAGTCATAAGTTGGGTTATAACCCGCATAAACACTATAGCTATAGATATCACAAACCATATAGTTATAGGATGTTATAGGAGTTAGTTGCAAATCCCATTGAATCCCATTGAATCCCATTAAACCAGCATTTTGCTCTAGGGCCCCCCCGGTATATTGTTTTTGCACCGCTTAACAAAGCGCATAAAAAGACGTCGACCTCCCCCAGCGCTCCTAGAGTCGTCCCCTCGGCAGGAAGGCGCGGTAGCGCTCTTCGCAGTTGGCGCGGAGGTTGCCGAAGAAGAGCGCCTCGCTGGAGTTGGTACAGGGGATGGTAAAGCCCCATATAATGTTGGCTGTGTATATATACATCTACATATATATATATACACATTTACTTACTGGTGCTTAGTAGGGAATGGATGGGAATGGATGGGAATGGAGGTTGCTGGGATTATTCTTGATAGTTAGCCAGTGGATCATTCCCTCATTCCCTACGTCTAGCACAAGTAAGTAAAAGTTGCCGGATGTTTGGAGTTTTTTTTGACCATGGATTCTTTTGAGCAAGAAAAACATAGAGGATAGGATATCTTAAGGAGATGTTTTTTGGGGGATTGTTGAGATGTTAATGGATGGGACATCATAATATAAATATGTACAGGGATATAACATGATATAACTATTCTATATGGTGTATGTAACAGGGATATAACTATAACCATCTACATATATGGGAGATCCTGTGGTAACTGAACAGTTTGCTATAGAAAATCACAATTCAAAGAATAGATCATTGAACTAAAGAGTCTATCTCATCTCTCAAGTACAACGGATCAACCAGACCTTTTAGCACTTGGTAAAATAAGCTTTACAAGGGCTACCCTCTGGTAAACATACAAAAAGCTATGGAAAATTGCTATGTATATATATATATTGCAAGTGGTAGCAGCCTTCGAATTGCCCAATGGCTTGAAAAGTCCCTTGGAAGCTATGGGCTATGAAAGAGATGGCTGGTGGCCCAGCGACCTGTCGGATCCCAACGCTTGTTTTCCTTTGAACCTTGCAAGATCTGAGCGTCGGGCGAACTGAGGTGATCTGACGTGAATGATCCAATTGATCACTGCAGAAATTGCATGCCACCTGTTGCTTATAAGGTCTTGAAGTAAAATAAAAGCAAAACACACAACCCAAAACAACAACAACAAGAAAAACACCACAAACAGGAATCATCAGGTAATGTTCAATCCCTTAGGACTCATGGCATCCTGTTTGGGGATGGTGTCACCATCTTCGAGTGGTTCTTTGCCCATCTCTCTCCTTTTTCGTGCTGATGACATGGAATCATCTTTGACAATCCTCCAATGTTGCTTCATGCTAAACCAGAGCAAAAGTTGCCGCTGCTCATTCTTCGTGAGCGAGTTGGCCAGTTGAGCTTCCGAGTGCACCCATCGCACTACAACGCCATTTCTAAGTTGAGCATGTTTCAGGGCCATCAGTTCTAGGTCTACCCTACGTTCTGAGCCACGTGTGCAAAGGACCTCTGTCGAGGTTTTGTCAAAAACGTTTCGTGAATCTGTGATGACGCATCCAGGTATGGAATTGACAAGACTGTTCACATGACGTATCCTGCACTGCCTGCCTAACATCTCAGCAAACTGATACCGACAGAAAAACAGTGCATCCTCTGCATTCACTGATGCTGCTGCTTCACTAGCCCCAGGACTACGGCAAACCCTTTGAATTTTGGAGGAATTCCAACACAGGGGGGAAACGGCTTCCAGTTGACCCTTCATGAGATTCATGTTCGCCAAACCAATCAAAAACCCTTGAGTGCTACTTCCATCAACTCTGTTTTGTCCCGCAGCATCACACCAAGCAAACAGCCCACAAGACTCCAAGTCAACCTTGGGGATCAAAAGTTTGTGATGTTTGGATTCCTTCACCTGGTTCATGAGTTTGTTAGCGCGGTACAAGGTCTCGATGCTACTTTTACTGACTTCAGAAAGCAAAAGTCCAACTTCGGCGGCAAATTGTGGTGCCACCTGTTGAGCATACCAGCTAACACCTCCCAGCAGTGTCCGCAACTGGCTTTTCTCATGTTCGTCCGTAGCACCATGTTTGTCCTTTTTCCGATGGGCCCTGATATTGATGTATTTTAACTCATCAACATATTTCTCTTGTGACAAGGAATGTGAACCATCAGTTTCACGACAAACACGAACCCCACATTGAATAAAATCATTTTGTTCCCAATCAGACCAACGGTATTCATGTTTAATTGATTCCATGACCTTCAACCAAGTGTTGTTCTTTTCATTCCCAGAAAATAAGAAATCATCAACATGTCCAGAAACAATACCAATCAATTCCCCTTTTTCACAAAGCGTCCAGCAGCACGGATCGGACCAACACCTACGCAAACCCAGCTGATCAAAGTATGAGCTAATGGAACGATACCATTCCAAAGGTGCATCTACCAGACCATAGCAGGCTCGACGAACTCGAGTCATGGACTCTGGTGGGAGTCCCATTGCAGCTAGGATTTCAGGACAGGGTATGCAGAGCAACTCATTGGGATAGTCTCGCGACTGTAAGAAAGCTCCTGTCACATCTCCTTTCCATGTTTGAAATCCCTTCCCAGCAGCTATTGACAGCTGAATCTGTCTCGTTTGTCGAGTTGTTGTTGGAGAGGTTGTGGCCCTTTCTGCATAGCTAGGATCCATGTATCCCAGAAGTACAGCTCGTGCCTTTGGTTTACGTCCACCATCAGGTAAAGCTTTCCAGGTCAGAATCCATCGCATCTTCACCGCATCAGCCCTGTTGGCTCTGTAGCCCTCTGGCAGGGCTTCAAACGCTTTTGCAGCAATGAAGTTGTTCACCTCCACCTGCTTTGCACCTTGAAAAGCTGCTCTTTCATCTGAGGTCATTCTTCTCTCTGAAACTTCTACGCTCTTGCGCTTCAGGGCTGCCACAAAGTAGGATTCCAGTGATCGAACTGCCTTTTCTGATGCATTGCGATTCTCCGGCAAATCAATCTCAACAGAAACCAAAGTATCCTGCTTCCAGATGCCTGTTTCACCTGTGGCCAAAAAGGCCTGGTCAGGTACCTGTGCAGTCCAGTTTGGTGCCACCTGAAAACCTTCAGGTAGTGGAGTGTTGATATCCCCTCTCATGGGGCTCCGTGATCTCGGTCTTCCCACTGGGCCTCTATCCCCTGAGGATTGGGCACCTCCGGTTTCGGGAGACCTGGCTGTTGTGGTTGGAGTCTCATACTCCAATGGTTTGCTGCGCTTTGCTCTGAGGCGAACTGCTGGCTGCCACTCCTGTTCAGGATCTGCGGCTCTCTTCCATTCTGACTCCACTGGATGTTCGCTCCAGTCTTCATACTCGTTACCTCCAAGCTCTTCAGCTACTTTAGAAAAAGTCCATGGTTGAGGATCGGGAGAATGGAGCTCTTCCAAAACTTTCTCTCGATCTGAGGCATGACGAAGTTGCTCAGGGCAGCACTTCAGTAGACGCCGTCCCCGAACAAGCCAAACAGAAGAGCCAGCGATCAGGTGACCCTGATCATCTCGTCTTTGCTCAGTAGCCAAAATTCTGGCCGGACCCACAAACCTTCCTTTGGTGTTGTTGCCAGGTTTGGCATCATCTCCAGTTACCTGCTTACGCCAGATATACACTAGATCACCAGCAGAAAAATTCAGGACTCGGCGGTGTCGAGACTGTGATGCTCGTTGTAATCTGTCATTCGCATTCCATTCCAAAAAAGCGTTTTCCGCACTCAGTCGCAGTGCCTCTGTTTGATGATGCACTGTCGTTGCTGAGTCAGCCAAAACTTCTGGAGACTGTACCAGCCTCGGATTGAAAATGTGATCTGTTTCATCAGGCGACTTTCCCAAAACATGTTGAATAGGTGAATATCCCCTGATTACTTCTCGACAGTTGAGGGCTCGGATGGTTTCCGACAAAGCATCTTCAGCTGACGTGTCAGGATGCTCATGCAACACTTTTTCCAAGATTGACTTGGTTGCTTGAACTGCGCGTTCGCAAACTCCCAGTTTCCAATGTCCCTCACTTGGCACCAGATCTAAAAAGATGTGGTGTTGATCACAGTATTCACTCAGACCATGGCTACGAAAAGCACCGTCAGGATCCAGCCTCAGTGACTTTGGGTTCCCGAAGTAGCTGGTCCAGGCTTCTTTCATGGTTTTGATAAAAAGGGCTGCGGAAATATGTTTCTTCTTGCCAGTGAGAACCACTCTACCAACCTTAAAACGTGACCCCTCATCAACCATCAGAACAAATTGGTGGTGTTCCCCAGTTTGAGGGTGAATGAAATGCCCCACATCAGCAGTCAACACGTCAAACCTTTGGGGTTGGGGTTCAAGAGAAGCACGGTTACGTGGTTGAGGTTTCCCTTTTTCTTCACAAACAGTACACTTGAACTTTTCCGCTTCCCTAATGATTTGGGGGTGCACTCCACGTTTCTTCAGGGATTGGATGAGATACCGAACAGGACTATGACCCGTAGCAGAGTGTAACAGGTACAACCGTTTTTGAATCTCTTCCGAACTCATTTGACAAGGACCCTGTTCCTCAGCCGCCAATCCCAAACCCGTGAGACCCTCGACTGACATGCGACATGCACCACATTTGAGTTGAGAACCATGTTGTTGAAGCTCTTTGCAAACACAAAAGGTACCCTTACCAAACATGTCCCCTTCGGAGTGGTGACCATGAAGTTCCCTCTGAAAGTCTTTGGTGGTGGTACCCTGAAGGATGGTTTCACAAACCCTCTTGGCAAACTCAGCGGTGTAAAAGGCAGACTTCCGAGTCAGGTTTCCTTCACATGCAACATGTTCAACCCTGGGACCGCACTGGCATGGCAAGGACATTCGAATCGCTAAAAGGGGGTGAGTAGTCATCAACTTCCATCCTTTTGACACAAACCGGCCCTTGGGATCTCTCAAATTGACTTGGCAACTCCTGGTGATGGCGAAGTAAACCTGGTACCTTTGGGCCAACTGTTGAACCAAGGGCAACCGCCATGCCTGACAAGACTGAGACCATTCCCAAGTCACATGGATTCCTTTCTGAATGCAATAACTGTAGACAACGGCTCCTCCTACGTATTGTTTCAAAACTTCCCTACGTTTTCGAGCCAGTTCTTCCTTCTGAGCATCAGTTCTTTGATTTATGTTTTGCATAACCGAGTAGGGACCACATTCCATGGAAATCCAAACATGTGAAGGCCGAGTGGTATCAATCTTATCCAAGACAGACCGGACCCCATCATTGGTGCTCAAGTCAAAGTTGTTCCACAACGAAAGCCGCTGTGCTGATTTTTCAGAGCCAGTCAGGTCATGCATTGTCTTAGATCAGATACTTTCCTGGCTGCAAGCTATCTCCAGCAGTGCCACTCTATCGTACAATGCCAGCTCTTGGAGGGTATCAGCCACCAATCTATCCGACTTGGACCCCAAAGACCTACCAAGACCCGTGGGCAACTTCTTGGAAACAAACTCATGGTGACCCTCGGGCTGAGCACAAGTTGAGTGTTCCTGCTGCACATGAGTTTCAAAAGTCTGAGCCTCACTCACTGCTGCATCATCTCGAAGCTCCCGGATGTCGCCTCGCTCACAGCTTTGCCCTCCTTCTTGTGGGGGCGCTCGGCTTTGAGATCCTGGACTTCCTCTCCAAGTTGGCTCACCGTTGTCATCAACTGTTGCATCATCTGGATCATGGCATCGTTGGAGCTTGACGGCATCTGCTTGGTGTCGGCTGATGTCATTCCAGTCTCGGTCATTGTATTGATCTTCTCCTTGGACTCTTTCTGGTGGTAAGAGACTGCCTGTGCTCTTTGATTCATGTTCTGCTGTTCCATGTTGTGCAGCCACTTGGCCAACCGTATCAGACGAGGTGAGCAGTTGTGAGGATCTTCGCGTGCCGTGGTCACAACCCACTTGGCGTAGCCCTTCTCCTCCACCAGGATGTCGCCATAGGTCTTGGCGGCATGGACTCCGAATCCTTGGACATCAGGTTCTCGATGGTCTCGTTGCCACTCAGGGGCACCTTGAGATTCTGCGACACATGCCACTTCAGGCTCTCCTTCTTCTCCTTCTTGGCACGATTCAACTCGATGATCATCTGGCGAAGGGGCGAGTGTTCCTTGCCCTTCTTGGTATCCATCCCCAAGTCGTACTGCAGTTCTTCCAAGCGTAGCTTCATCTCTGCATTGGTCCAAGCCTTTGGAGGTGTTTCTCCCAGGCGGTTCAACTCGGATAGCATCTGCGCACGGCTCATGGCTGGCATGGCTCCTGGAGAGAGGTCCACAAGGGGCTTGTTGATCACCAGGAACGTGTGGTTCTCGAGCTGTCGCAGCTTCGACGTTCTTCACCATGCTTGCCGTGGAGGTCTGTGCTTCGCACATTGGACTTTTGGAGTCTACTGGATTACCTGATGATTCATCATTCACACCATGGACAACAACACTAGGAACTCCGGAAATACCGTCACAACCATCATGCTTTTCTTCAAGTCCTTTCACTGACAAAAACCTGCCTGCACTAGAACTACTGACCTCCCTTTTCCCAGCAGACGTGGAATCCGGGAGGAGATGTCCCTACAGGAAATCTTTGAGGCTGGGCACACGAGTCGTCGAGGTCTTCTGCGACTCGCGATACCAATCTTTGGTCAGTGGAAGCAACTGGTGTCCGGAGCTGGATCTTTCCAGCTGAATTACGCGTTCATCCGACAGCTTGCGAAAAACGATCAAATCATGTTCAAAGTCGATGATGGCACCTAAGGACCTCAAAGTTTCTATACTGAACAAAATGGGGCCCTCACCACGATCTAAGGTATGTACCTTCAAGTGACCTTCACGGCCTTCGGCCATGATCTTCATCCAAACAGTTGACAAACATCGGTCACCTGACGAGTTTCCAAAACCGAAAACAGGCCTCTGCTCAGTATCCAGCTTAGCGACGCCATCATCACCGTGTTCTTTGGCATTGATGTTCATCAGGGTCTCCAAGGCCGTGACAGATCCCAAAGTGCGGGTAGCACCACCGTCGATCACAGCTTTACCCTCAGTCATGGCTTGGTGAGTCGTAGCCAAGTTCTGGTCCATGTCCTCAGTGTTCAACACCTGGTCGGTCATGCAGATGAAGGGAGCATGTTCTTGAACTTCAGCTGCTTGTGCTTGGGGTTTTCGAGGGCACTCTGAGGTCTTGTGGTTCCCTCCACAGCTCAAGCACTTCGGAGTATGGTTGTTTCCTTGCTCATTTTTCACATGCATGCTGCCTTTCCCAGAACCCTTGAAGGACTTCTGACCATAGTATTGGCGACTCAACTTGACGAACTTCTGCCTGGAACGGGCATCTTTCAAAGTGCGGCGTCCCTGATCGATCAAGGCTAAGGCTGACTGAGCCTCAGACTCTGCATCGGCCATCAATGCCATACCCTCAGCATTCAGACCTGCCAGAGCAAGATTGGCCCAATCCATGCCCTCCTCATCATCATCAGGAGACTCATCACCCTGTGTCATCCATGCAGTTCCTTTTCCATGTTGATCACGTCTTCGCAAGTCTTCATCATTCCATTGATTTCTAAGCTCTTGAGCAACCCTCTCAAGGCGAAAGTCGCTTTTGATGGCTGCGAGGATCATGTTGCGCTCGCTCACCTCGAGTCCTGCATCTTGCAGGAGAAGCCACCCTTGTACGAACTCAGGAAGTAGCTTGACGGTGGGAGTCGACCATGTAGCTGATCCTTCATAGTCCTGGGATCTGTTCCATGACCAGTAGTCCCAATCTTCTTCTTCCCATCGTCTGTAGTTCCAATCCTGCCATCCGGACCAGCTGGTCTGGCTCCTGGCATCTTCGGTTTCCCCTGGATCTTCAGCTCCTTCCCCACTAGATGGGGCTCCATCAGGATTCAGAACTTCGGAGTCTGCTTCTTCCTGGATGGCCTCAAAACGAGGTCGTTCACTTGTAGAGGAGGCACCATGGGACGTTCCTCTGGAAGTCCTTGGCTGGTAGTGTTCCTGGGCGCGGCTCAGTGTGGACTCAGCTCGCCCATACAACTCTGCTTTCCGGGTGATGTACTCGTTCATGGATTCGCTCTTCTTCCTGCGGCTCTGCTTGAAGTACTTGGCCAAGAAGTCTGACATCTCGGCAAGTTGTGGTAGTCCTAGATGTTGTCGCAGATGGTTCAGCAAAGTCTGAACCCCTCCTGAGTGCGACACCCAGCCTGGCCGCTTGGACATCACGAACCTCTTTGCAGTCCCTGACAGCTCATTCAGGAGCTTTGGACCACAAAGATACCTCTTGTGGTAGGGAATCGTCTGTTCCCAGTGCTCTGCAACCTCTGAGTACTCTTGGAACGTCGCTGACGATCCATCCCAGCATGGTACCCCTTCCTTGTTTCGCTCGATCCTTTCCACCCTTGCTCCTAGAGGCTAGGCACCTAAGAGCTAGACAAAAACCGTGAGCCTATATTGGTAGGCTCCGCTACCATGCAAGTGGTAGCAGCCTTCGAATTGCCCAATGGCTTGAAAAGTCCCTTGGGCTATGAAAGAGATGGCTGGTGGCCCAGCGACCTGTCGGATCCCAACGCTTGTTTTCCTTTGAACCTTGCAAGATCTGAGCGTCGGGCGAACTGAGGTGATCTGACGTGAATGATCCAATTGATCACTGCAGAAATTGCATATATGATATGTATACATGATATACCCATGAAACCATGGTGATTTGGTGATTTTTCAATAGCTATTTTGTTGGACACAACCCCCGTGGGTACGGCTGGAGGAGCATCCCATGACTTATCACCGATGATCCCTGGAGCTGGATGGCCTGGAATCCCCAGAAAGCCATGGTAATGACTTGGGGATGGGTCATTTTCTTGGGAAGTTACCATACCAAATCTGTGTGCCCAACATCCATTTGGATCATTTGGATCATTTGGGTTCTCTCCAAAAATCCGCTGATCCGCTGATCATGTTGCGATGTTGCGAATGCCGCATCTTCAGCCCTCCCAGCATTGTGGAAATCCACATCTTCGAGGCGCAATGTCAAGATCGTGATAGCGCAGGAAGTCATCTTCTGCCAGGGTAAACCAACCTTGGACTTGTTTACAGAAAGCAGCTCAGCATGCATGATTATTGTCTATAAGTTTTTTCTATGTCGTTGGTGAAAAGACGTCCCGGCTCCCCCAGGAGCAAATGCTCGAAATCTTGCCTGACCGACTTCATGAAAGTTGGCCCGACTGCAGAAAACGCATCCAATCTCCGATGCGTTAAGAAGTGCTTGTTTTTGGACCAATTTTTAGCAGGGTGATGCAGCACATTCCTGTAAACTCAGCCTTTAGGATGATTCCACTAATACCAGCCAGGGAATTGTGACATCACAATAAGACATCCCATCACTGCCGGACATGGGGTGTGCTTGAAAAACTATGACAAAACGGGATAAGTTTGATCAACCAAACAAGATTTGGGGGTACAGGGTTTTGACACATGGCCATATCCTAAACCAAAATTTGGGCAATCCGGTGCAAACCAGTCACAATCCTTTGGAAACTGCGGAACTCTCGTTGCCTCAGGCGATTTTTCTTCGGTGCAAGGCTGCGACATGATGAAAGATTGACAGAAATACGGCTATCGGTAAAACCATAAAGATCATATACGGCGTCAAAATTAGCAAAATCACTTGGTCATTTCCAGTTTTGAAACCATCTCAATTCTCAAAGGCCCATAAGCCCCGTAGGACTTGGGCCGTTTTCACCACAATAAAAAAACATGTTCCACTCGACCCTCGAGTCGTCGAGGCTCTGTGTAAAGGATTCGATCCCCACAGCTGTGATGGGATAAAACCACATTCAACTACAACTAGTAACTAGTAGAGCAGCGTAAATAGTAGTGTGGTTGAAATGTAAATAGTATGAATCTGATGGTATGACCCTATCCATAATTGGCTTTGCCAAACAAAAATGCTGGTCTCCCAAATATGACAACCATCATCTGCGGGGTTTGATGAACCATGAAGTCGTGATATCGAGCTTAACTGATCCGAGGAAAAACACATTGAACACTTCCCTTCACTCACTCCATACTTGGTATACAAATGATGTACAGTAAATCAAATCATGACTATGTAAAATCACTATTTTTCATAGGTATATTAATCAACAAACTAAATTGCAATTTTCAATAGCAAACTCTTAGTTTACCACGATGTCAACCCATGACGTAACATGAAGCTGCTGTCAACCGGTCGCCCAGCTGCTCCAGTATGATCCACTTGAGCAGAGACGTTTCCGCACTCGATGTGACCTACAGCCGTGAACGTTTGGCAAGTGTGCTATCCGGGTGTGGCTGCATAAGATAATTTTTCAATGCGGTTCTCGTGTTTGTTGTGGCAGTATCACAATGCTGAAACATGTTTAAAATATATAGTCTATAGGAGTTATATAGGACCGATGTTCGTGACCAAAGATCATTGGATTGGATCGGATCCCGAATCATCCTTGGAACAAAACAAGACGATCTCATCCCCAGAAAATATCAAATGTACCCCATGTGGTCCCAATAAATGAATAGATCCATTACTATAATCCATGTTTTGGCGGCTAGGAAAGTATTTCATAGGGGCCAGAATTTCACCGTGGTGGTGCGAAAAGGCTTGCACATGTGAGGGACTCATGACTCACTAACCTTTGACACAGCACAGAACGTCAAGCCATTTCCACCTTGAATATATCACTATATACCATTTTATCCCATTATTTTCCATTATAATCCCATTTTGGTTGGTTAACCCCCAATATATCATAGCGAAAGTTATATATCCCATTATCAAATTATAAAGGTCATATAATTATATACGTAATGTAATGTATCCCATTAGATCCCCATGGGTATCCCATTCAACTACCCATTTTGATTGGTTAACCTCCATTGTATTCAGGTGAAGGTTCATGATTTTCCAATTCTAAACCCATTGTCAACTGGTTATAGCCTCCGGTAAATTAACAGTTTGACCCTGGCAGATAAGGCTTGGTTCAGACTAGTTTCTCAAAATTGCTCATCTCTTAAATTCTGTCATTTACCAGAAATTGGGGCCAAAATTGGGGGCCCCAAATTCCAACGGATTCTCCTCACCTTCCCTATTCAAGTGGCTATTTGTGGGTGGCCCCTATGTTCAAACCCATATGCATGCATCCCCAAATTCACGGTGATGCCCCCGGCGAAGTTGGCGAAGTTGACTTACCAGTATATAATAACGTATAATTACCTACAAGAGTTAGGTTTTGCATGGCTTCATACATTGAACCCAAATATCATAAAGTTGGTTAGGTATATCCCACTCGATTCCCATGAAATCCCATTAAAACTGCCTGTTGATTGTTGAGCCACCATTTTCCCTCTATCCCATTCACATACAGTACATTTCCCAGATGCCACCCTCATCGGCCGCGGCGCTCAGATCCGTCACGCGGCAGCCCAGTGGTGCTGGGCCGGACTCGCGCAGGCGGTTGCCGAAACGCAGCGCCACGCCGCTCACGGGCCAGGCTGCAGCGGGATGGGGCTTGGAGTCTTATGGGTATCAACCATATCATCCCCAATAGGATCATTGTAAATTAAACTTAATGGATCTTTAATGTGGATACAAAATGGGGATGATAGCCCGATCTTTTGTATCAATGCATTCACTTTAATAGGATTTTCCATAATTAAACCATCCATTTTCGGGGTACCCTCATGTTAGGAAACCCTCATATAGGGTTGATTACCCCAAGGCAAACATAGAAAAACATGTGGAAAAATGGAAAAGCCATAATTATCCTATAAACGTTTACATAGATGTGAAAAAACCATATGGTTTCGAACAAATGGGTCTAGAAATTGTTGATTTTCCACAGCGAAGCGTTAGTTTACAGTAGGGTAAGCCTTGTTTATAGCTTGATTTTACCTATTTTCATAATGGGCTTCGAAACTCTTCGGGATTGATCAGTTCAACTAAACCAACTTGGAGTACCTGTAGTAGATTTTCATGGTGGTTCAATCACTATCAACCATAGCTATCTTGGGGGTCCCACATACCCATATTATATCATATTATGGTATGATAACGGCTAATAAATGTTGCTACTTTCACAAGTTTTTTTGGGGGCCATCACTGTATTTGGTGAGGTGCTGCTCGAGGATGTGTTCATGGTTGGTCTATCCATGATGTGCAACCAGTTGTCACAGAAATTCAAAATATTATTCTTATTCGAAACAACTAGCTCAAAAAGTGTCAGAATATCATGTGGTAAGTCAAATTTCTGGTGAAACTGGAGTTGGTGAATGGTTTTGGCATTAGGTTCT